TTGCTGAAACAATTATTTTAAAACAGGTGGATGATATGAAAGGCAAATGCCTGGTGTTAAGAGAACCTACCTGAGTAATGCTTTGGAAACTTTATTCAAGAACCGTTCACCCTTAGGAAAACAATAGCTGGAGTGCTTCCTGAATCCATAGTTTAGGCTGGATGGTACATTTAAAATCTGTATGGAGGACTCTGAAATTGATCTATCTTCAGGTCAGGAGTAGGTCTGTTTTGGAAAGACATCTAAAATTTTAAACTGCCCTTTTCACTGATGATTTTCAGGGGTGCTTTTTTGCACATATGGGCAGCAGGTTTAAAACAAATAAAAGGAAGTTCTTCTTCACACAGTGCACAGTCAACCTATGGAACTCCTTGCTTGAGGAGGTTGTGAAGGTTAGGACTATAACAGGGTTTAAAAGAGAACTGGATAAATTCATGGAGGTTAAGTCTATTAATGGCTATTAGCCAGGATGGGTAAGGAATGGTGTCCCTAGCCTCTGGTTGTCAGAGGGTGGAGAAGGATGGCAGGAGAGAGATCACTTGATCATTACCTGTTTGGTTCACTCCCTCTGGGGCATCTGGCATTGGCCACTGTCAGTAGACAGGATGCTGGGCTGGATGGACCTTTGGTACAAAGCCACGGGGAATGTGATGGGCTACATGAACTCAGGCCTCTTCCATCTCCTGTGATTCTGTCATAGCAGTGGGGCTACATGTGGTGAGTGAGGGGAGTAGAACTGGGCCCATAGGGAGGAGCTCTCACCTCTCTGCTCCATGATGAGATCTGGATGCTCTCTATGTGCGGCCCAAATCTGGTCTGGGCTTTTTTGCTGCTGCATTGCACTGCATCGCTAAAGCAAAACCGATCTGTCCTTCACTATCCCCCAGTCTGCTTCCCCATTGACTGGCTTTGTCTTAGATGATCTGGCTTAATTATTATCTATATTACCACATGAACTAGGCCCCTTTTGTGCCAGGCGCTATACAAACACAGAACCAAGAGCGTCCCTGCCCCCAAAGAGCTTCATGTAATTTTCCATGTTGGCTCTCATTTCCCCTCCTGCCTACAGAGTGATTTCTTCCTCAGCCCCCTTGTGTACCTCAAGGGAAAGATAGCAAAGCCTGGGGCTGTATTACCCTTTCTGCTGTACCTCCTCAGCTGTGGAGCGCCTTTGAAGGGGGCGTTTTCTGAGGCAGTTGTGGCCAGGGGATGCTCTGATAGCATATTCACAGTGAGGGCAATTAAGCATTGGAACAAGTGAAGAGGGATGGTGGTGGATTCTCCATCACTGGAAATCTTTAAATCAAGATGAGATGGCTCTTTCTAAAGGATATGGGGTAGTTCAAAGGGAATTTTTGGGGGGAGCAAAGAATTTTGAAGAGCAACTAGCAAAAGACTCAAACTAACAGCAAAAAATGTAAGTACATCAAAAGCAAGAAACCTGCCAAACAATCAGTGGGGCCACTGAACGATCGAGGCTCTAAAGGAGCACTCAAGGAAGATAAGGCCATTGCAGAGACGCTAAATGAATTCTTTGCATCAGTCTTCACTGCAGAAGGTGTGAGGGAGATTCCCACACCTGAGCCATTCTTTTTAGGTGACAGATCGGAGGAGCTGTCCAGACTGAGGTGTCAGTAGAGGAGGTTTTAGAACAAACTGATAAATTAAACAGTAATAAGTCACCAGGACCAGATGGTTTTCACCCAAGAGTTCTGAAGGAACTCAAATATGAAATTGCAGAACTAGAAACCATGGTATGTACCTATCACGTAAATCAGTTCTGTACCAGATGACTGGCGGATAGCTAATGTGAAGCTATATTAGCACTGGAAAAGATACAGAGAAAGGCACCAAAAATGATTAATGGAATGGAAGAGCTTCCCTATGAGGAGAGATTAAAAAGACTGGGACTGCTCAGTTTGGAAAAGAGATGACGAAGGGGGGATGTGATAGAGGTCTACAAAATCATAACTGGGGCGGAGAAAGTGACTAAGGAAGTGTTATTTACCCCTTCCCAAAACACAAGAACCAGGGGTCACCCAATGAAATTAACAGGCAGCAGGTTTAAAAGAAACAAAAGGAAGTACTTCTTCACACAACACAGTCAACTTGTGGAACTCGTTACCAGGGGCTGTTGTGAAGGTCAAAACTATAACTGGGTTAAAAAAAGAATTAGATAAGTTCATGGAAGTTAGGTCCATCAATGGTTCGTAGCAAGATGGTCAGGGATGCAACCCCATGCTCTTGGTGTCCCTAGGCTCTGACTGCCAGATGCTGGGACTGGATGACAGGGGCATAACTTTGATTACTCTGGTCTGTTAATTACCTTTGAAGCACCTGGTATTGGCCGCCGTCCAAAGACAGGATACTGAGCTAGATGGACCATTGGTCTGACCCAGTAGGGATGTTATGTTCTAAAGTTCTGTTGCCAAGGTTAGACAGGAGGTAAGACTAGATGATCACAGTGGTCCCTTCTGGCCTTGGAATCCATGAATATTTCCAGTGGAGAAATGCTGCCAGGGACAACAGGAGCACCATTGTGGGCCGGAGGTGTGGAAGCCTCCAGCTGAATGGTCCTGGCCTCCTCCTGGCCCCCACGATATGAGGAGTGCCACCCCTTCCAGCTGTCTGTATTAGTTTTCCCTCCTCACCTGTGTTTGCAACACTCACCACAGAGGTATTGGGGAACCCACCTTTTCCTTGGCTGGTAAATATTTCCTTGGCTGCCCCTTTGTTCAGAAGTGAACATAATCCGAACTGGATCAGTCTCAGATTCCCCATCGCTGCAGCAAAGCTGAGTGAGGAAACGGGCAGGATGTGTGTTTGGCTTCTCAAAAGGTGTAGCAGACAATTTAGTGACATTAAAGCAGAAAACTATCTCCCATAAAAGCATTCACTCCATAGAATCACTCCTTGTAACAATCCGCTCTCTCCAAATTGTGCTGCTTGAGCTCCCCCATGTGGATTGTTCTTGTGCTTGCATAATCCTTTGAGTTCACTACGTTTTTTTTTTTTTCTTTAAAAGATCATAGACGGCTAACCTATGAAGCTCCTTTGACTTCATTGAGGACAGATTTCAGCCCCTCCAAAAAGAGCAATCAAACCCCTGATGGATTTCTCTCTCTACTTTATAGTGATATTTACAAGGCTTTTCATTAGCTCCCAGTGGAGGCAGCAGGATCATGTGCCCAGCTCTGCAGTTAACCTAGCTGCTTGGCTCAAGTACTTTGAGGCAGTGGGAGTGGAAGGAGTGCCCCTCAATAGTGGAAGATTAGCTGCCTAGGATCCTCTCCAGAATGTTTATAGAGCTGTTTACTGCGCTCCAAAGCACAATGTACATTTTAAATAGCTGATCATACCAACAATTCTGTAGGCCTTCGGGGAAAGGGGAGACAATTGGCCTGCATTAAAGTCATGACTAAAAATGAAGACACTTCATCAGCATCCTGCAATTGGTTATTCCTTTCTGTTCTGCATGGTGTCTCCCCACCCCTAGTTATCTTGGTCAGATACATTAGTGGGGCTTTATCCATTACAGTTCTTTGTTTGTTAATAAGCACGTCTGGGGATAAATACATTCAACCAAACTGACCACCTATTGAAAAGGTGAATACATCTGCCCCCATATCATGCCTCCTCTTCCAGGGATGATTGCCGTGAAGCCACAGTTGCTCTTTGGGGGACAGCATCCGGGCGTGTGGATTTCCCAGCCACGGATCCTTGTCAGTGTGTGTATGGCAGGAGGGTCGATCTAGCCTTCATGCTGTTGTAGTGGCCACATATCCTCTCTGCTGCCATTCTGCAGCCCAGGAAGCAAAGTGGGGATGGCGAATCTTGCACAAAGGAAACACAATGCTCAGCTGCAGAGTCAAGCTCTTTATTTCTTGCCTTCCCCCACACTCCCTTACTCTAACTTAGTGTAGGATAAAAAAAAAATAATGAGAGTTTGCTTAAGTTTTGATTAAGGAAATATCTGGGTGTTGTAAAGAGAGGCCCTGACTAGGAGGTAGAAGGATGGCCTTGAAAATGAGTTATAAGGCCCAAAGGGAATGCAGTAGGGAGGATGTCTGGTTCAAAGCACAACTAATTGAATAAGGGGAAGCTTCTAAGAAGGCCTCTGACTGATAGGAGTGACTGCAGATGGTTTTCAATAAGAATTTCTCTTAAACGGAGCCAATGTGGAACTTCCCACCCCACAGACCAGTGTTAACTCCAGCCTGTATGAACCCAGCTGCAATGAAAAGTTGGCCAGCAGGAAGGAGGGGAAGAGATTAAGGAGGAGAGACCTGGTGCAGGAGGGAGTGGGGGCGGGGGGGTAGAAGGAGCTTGTAAATCTTATTTGGATCAAAATTAGGATGAGTTGTCTAGCTTACAAGTGATTTGAATGTGGTAATTGGCTCTGACGTTTGTTTGTTGCAGGGTATGAAAGTTATGAATTTGAAGGTTCTTTGTCAGACCCTACTATCATGCTGGAGTATGCCAGGGTGCGACTGTCATCCCTAAGTCTGGCCTATTTGTAAGTATACTGATCACATGCTTATGAATACTTTTTGTTACTGTATTGAGTATAGTAAATTGCGGATTATTTAGGCTTTGTCGGTACATTTACAGCAATTGTATAAATACCATTTGGCCTTTGGATTTAATAAAGGAATTTATAGTTAAATTAGTTTTTGGTTTCCCATAACAATATTAATTTCAAATAATATTATTTCCAACACTTAGTAACACACACCTCTCAGCGAGGGTGGCAGCTTTGAATGATTAAAGCTAAATGAGTTTTGAAAGGCAAAACAAACATCTGAACCTCTCTTTAAGTGTGAAAAGGATCGTTTTCTTTCCTACTCGTGCCCTGTGCTTTGCTAGCTGAATGGGTTTTCTTTACACTCCCCCCCCCAAAAAAAAAAACTGCTGAAACCACCCATGAAAACTTAGGCCAAAACAGAGTCCTGTTGGGCAAGTGATAAGTGCCTGAACACGGGAGAGACAGGGGCCTTGCAGTGAAAATGGGCATCTCCCAAAGTGGGCTGGTGTTACTGCGGAGCCACAAAAATTCTATGAAAAAAGAAAAGGAGGACTTGTGGCACCTTAGAGACTAACAAATTTATTTGAGCGTAAGCTTTCGTGAGCTACAGCTCACTTCATCGGATGCATTCAGTGGAAAATACAGTGGGGAGATTTATGTACAAAGAGAACATGAAACAATGGGTGTTACCATACACACTGTAAGGAGAGTGATCAGGTAAGGTGAACTATTACCAGCAGGGGAGCGGGGGGGGGGGGGGAGGAGGGAGAGAACCTTTTGTAGTGATAATCAAGGTGGGCTATTTCCAGCAGTTGACAAGACCATCTGAGGAACAGGCCGGGGGGGGGGAGAGGGGAGAGAAATAAACATGGGGAAATAGTTTTACTTTGTGTAATGACCCATCCACTCCCAGTCTTTATTCAAGCCTAAGTTAACTGTATCCAGTTTGCAAATTAATTCCAATTCAGCAGTCTCTCGTTGAAGTCTGTTTTTGAAGTTTTTTTGTTGAAGAATTGCCACTTTTAGGTCTGTAATCGAGTGACCAAAGAGATTGAAGCGTTCTCCGACTGGTTTTTATAATTCTTGACGTCTGATTTGTGTCCATGTATTCTTTTACGTAGAGACTGTCCAGTTTGACCAATGTACATGGCAGAGGGGCATTGCTGGCACATGATGGCATATATCACATGGGTAGATGTGCAGGTGAACGAGCCTCTGATAGTGTGGCTGATGTGATTAGGCCCTGTGATGGTGTCCCCTGAATAGATATGTGGACAGAGTTGGCAAGGGGCTTTGTTGCAAGGATAGGTTCCTGGGTTAGTGGTTCTGTTGTGTGGTGTGTGGTTGCTGGTGAGCATTTGCTTCAGGTTGGGGGGCTGTCTGTAAGCAAGGACTGGCCTGTCTCCCAAGATCTGTGAGAGTGATGGGTCGTCCTTCAGGATAGGTTGTAGATCCTTGATGATGCGTTGGAGGGGTTTTAGTTGGGGGCTGAAGGTGATGGCTAGTGGTGTTCTGTTATTTTCTTTGTTGGTCCTGTCCTGTAGTAGGTAACTTCTGGGTACTCTTCTGGCTCTGTCAATCTGTTTCTTCACTTCAGCAGGTGGGTATTGTAGTTTTAAGAATGCTTGATAGAGATCTTGTAAGTGTTTGTCTCTGTCTGAGGGGTTGGAGCAAATGTGGTTGTATCGTAGAGCTTGGCTGTCAACAATGGATCGTGTGGTGTGGTCTGGATGAAAGCTGGAGGCATGTAGATAGGCATAGCAGTCAGTAGGTTTCCAGTATAGGGTGGTGTTTATGTGACCATCGCTTATTCTATGCTGAGCCTTTGAGGTTTGGAAAACTAATATCTGGGGGCATTAAATTAGCCAGTAGAGGCAGCCTACCATGCAAACAGTTACAAGCTGCTAATATAGGGGAGATTCACAGGGAAGAGTTCTATACGGGGCTAGGGTTTATATTCCTGCATTTGCAAGAGCATTCTGCTGTCTTGGCCAGTTCTGTCGAGGCTGGGCTTCTCTCCTCGCTTCTGTATAATGATCTGAGGCACCACCCTTTGCTGCTGACTCCTGGAAGCCAACAGGACTACCGTGGTCATGAGAATCACATTTTGGTGGTGTTTAAAAGATCAGACCCAAGGGCCACATTTTAAAGGCTTTTAGGCACAAACTTTTGGTTTCAGTTGGAGGTGGGTGCCTAAATACCCTTGAGGGTCTGAGCTCAAGTCTTTGGTAAAGAGACACATACGCTTAAGATGCATTGTAACTAGAAGCATATGGAAGCTGAGTAGCACTAGGAGCAGAAGGATGTCTGCTGTTGAGTCACAATCTCTGTGCAGAGTCCGGGAACCAGCCACAGATGTAATTTATGACAAAGCTGGGCCTAAAAAGTCAACCATTAGTGTGCTGCTTTATTGCCACCTTCCTGGGGAATTCCCCATAGATGAAATGGGCCCTACTAGCCATTGCATGGTACTCCCATAGGTCACAAAGGCCACAAACGTTCATGGCAAAATGGCTTGGTCCTCACTTGGGCAAAACACCCCAGTTTGAAGTCAGAGGGCGAACTACTTGAGGAAAGCCTGTGGGAGGCAAGCCAGTGACTGCTGCCCTGCCTGCTGTCGCATATCCCTGGAGGATGTTGGTCTCTTCTCCCCAGATCTGCCACCTGCCTCCAAAGGGGAAGATTGCTTACTGAAAGTCAAAGCATTCAGCAGTCTGCAGCCCACTGTTCTAGTGACAACAGCTGACCACAAGGAGGCAGCAGTGGCACTGTCTAGTGCTAAATTATTAAGGGCTGACTTTCCCAAGGGGCAAGCTCTCCTTGGCGGCTGCAGTTTGTGCTTGTTCCTTGTGCCCCAGTGATGGCATTGTGCCTCCAGCTTACGTAGGCTGGGCCTCAGCCTTTTGGCAAACGTACCCCCAGAACTAAGGACTGATTGATTCAAAGCCTGCTGAAGTCATTTGGAGTTGCAGGTACACAAGGAATGCAGACCTGGGCCATAGATCAGCTCAAACCAAAAACACATTCTCTGAGCTCCCTCTGCTGCTCAGTGGAGTCATCTAACAGACACTGAGCCTGATGCTGCTGCTCTTAACATCTGCTTCTAAGCAACCCGCAGGGTGGGTGAGTTCTAGCTCTCCCCGACCCATGCAGCCCCCAGGAATCCTTTAGCAGCCTCTCCAGTCCAGAATGACTCAGTCTTCTTATTGATTCCTCAAGGAACAGCTGCTGGGCCCAGGCAGAATTGGTGATCAAACAGGAACAAATCCTGAGCACCACAGGTTTGCCTGGCTCTGGGTATCCAGCAAGGCTTAGTGTAGAAGTTACAATCCTGAGAAAGTAACAGCGGAGGTAGCTTTTGAGGGCAGTGCCCAACCCCATATGTCCTACCAATAACTAGCACCTCCATGGACTGCTGGGAACGGAGTCTGAATTTCCTGACCAGAGGTGGTCAGTATTTCTCCATTATCACATGGGACTCAAGTCTAGTGTCTTACTCCTACACCCTCTCAGACCCAGGAGTGTCACAGAGGCAGCTCTGTGAGCTGCAGGCACCCCTTTCCCTGTCCGGGAATAATGACTTTGCTCTGTATAGCTCCCAGCTTAGATGGCAGGATTAGTTTGGCTGCAAGTAGGCGAGACTAGAAATCAAACCAACCCGCAGCACTGTTCTGCTTCTCCCTCCCATCTCTCTCAGGCCTTCCCGCTCTCTTCTGTTCTTCCTCATCCCTTCCCCATGGCAGGGGTCCAGATACCACAGTGCCAAGGACCTAGATAAATGGGTAGATCTCATTGGGCTGACTGAAGATCCAGATGGAGAGCAACACTTTCCTCACATGGGGTTTGGGTAGAGAAGTGATACTGGCTGGAAGAAGCATCTAGAGGCATGGCCAGTGCCAGCACAGGCCTCTAACACTGTGTTGGCCCATCCTTGGTCAATAAAGCTTATGATTCAGGGGAACATCTGGATTCCCTGTTGTTGCTAAAGGCCACCAATACCATGTGGGACAATGGTGCCTTTGTCCATCTACATTCACTGTCCTATTCTCTCCCATCCCCAGGCACCAGGCTGGTTAAAATGCAAGGGGATGAGCATGTGGGGAGCCCCAAAGCTGATGGGATAGAAGAGCAATCCCACTTCAGGGCCAAGCCTCTGAAGCACCACAGACAGACAGCAGACGGACAGTGTGAAGGCCTTTACTGAAAGGGAGGGATGCGGATCTAACTGCATGCATGAAGCTGCTGTTTAGGCTTGGACTTTCCACGTCCATGTGGGACTCAAAGCTGCACTGCACCTTCTCTAGCTCAACTGTCTGGGCTGCTGGGTCCCTCCCTGTGATGAGCAGACACTGCTATCAGAATGCCCCCAACATGGTGCAAGTACCCTTGATGAATGAGGGGAGGAGGCTCTGCTCCTTGCTGGCATGGGCTGATCAGTGGACTTGGGTAAGAGGTGGGAAAGTCAGTCAGTGCGCTGAGCTGCCTTGAGGTGGAGATTAGTCAGTTAAAATAAATAGTTTGCTGTTAAAATGCCAATGCTAGGCCAGGTTTGTGGGCCTACTGCCAACCCAGGGCTGTGAAGTTGATCTTAACTATAGCTCCTCCTGCCCCCATCACTTCTTCCGGCTCTCCCTCTGCAGGGCGGCTGCATGCTTCCGCAGCTGGCTCCAGCACTTGGGTACCTGCTGGCTGAGTCCTGACAGGCGCTGCAGTCTAAGAAAGAGAAGGCAGGGGCTCAGACTTTGTTTTTTCCCTGTCCCTGAGCTCTCTGGGCTCTACCGAACCAATTACAAATAAATCCGTGCGAATTGACCACCACCACCTCCAATGCAGATCGAGATCTAGAACAGCCAGACACCTCTTCATGTGCCATTCAGGACACTGAGATGGGCTGCTAGAATGTCAGCAGCCAAGCTGCCCCCCCCATTTGTGGTCTCATCCAATAGCCTGTGTGAGCACAAATCAGGGTGCTGCATGTGTACCTGCCATGGACTAAACTAAGGTCTGCTACAAACTTGTTCTTCTGTGGTTGGTGATTTGAGCTCTGTCAGAGCAATGGGCTAAGGGGGTCGCCAATTTAAATAGTAGAAAGCTGCAGGCTGGAAAGGTTTTTCCTTGGGACAGATCTATGGAAAGGGGAGGCATTACTGAGCTGGTGCTAGGGATGAAAGGTTCTCTGTGCCCTGAGCTAGCCTGCCACTCCCCTGGCTCAGGCCTAGAAGGAGAAGAGAGAAAGGTGTTAGGTAACGGAAACCTGCTAGGCCATTTCTCCCAACCCCCACCGCTAGGCTTCAGCCTCTCAAACGTAAGGCCTGATCCAAAACCCACTGAAGTCAATGGAGGATTCCCATTGACTTGGATCAGACAGTCTTCCAAAAGTAACAGCTCAAGACACAGGTCATCCAGTAAGTGATGTAACACTGCCATCTAGTGACAATATGAGATAGCAAAGTCTCTGCCTAGCAGGTGGAGTTAATGTAGCCTGAATCAAAGATGCAATAGCTCCTATTCAAGCAGAGAAACCTACTGTGTATGTTCAGTAAAGGAGGAGTCTGCCCTGCAATTGTGTGCATGGGGAAACAGAATCATCTGGAGAGATCCACAGTCTCTCCCTTGCTATGCCCAGAGCAGCGTCCCCAGGGGCAGAGCTGGATGCTTGAGGTGGAGTGTCTGTCTGCTCTTTGGCACAGACCCAGCTCCCCCTGTATAGCCCACAGTTTACTCCAGTCTCACCCCAGTGATACGTAAGAACAAATCATACCAATCCACACAATCCCGCCTCAGGCCATTCTGGAACCTCACTGGGCCCTTTGTGGTCTAGGGCAGGACCTGCCCTACCAGGAGTGTGAGCCAAGTCCCAGCTTCCAACACTGCAGACTTCCTGGTGGGAAAAGCTTACCTGTCACGGAAGAAAATGTCACATCTCTCGACCCATGGCAGGTGCTGCAAGGACTCAGGAGGAGGCTCCGGTACTGCTGGGAAAACTTCCATGGACAGGTAGGAATCAAAATTAAAAAGGAAGATGGAGCTTTGCTTGTCTTTGGTCTGTGTCCGGGGACCAGCCTGCTGCTGCTGCTCATCCCCTGTGTGCCAGAGGAGAGGACATGTAGGATGCACATTCTGCAGAACCATCACAGGAGGCCAAGAGTGACCCAAGACTACCATGGAGCTGGCTGCACCAATCTGCGTACACTGTTCTCAAGGCTGCTCTGATGTCAAGCTACTCAGCTGGGGAAGACCCGAATGGCCTCATTTAGAGCAGCAATCACCACGAATGACCAAATAGTCCTGAGCCACCAGCTGGCCACACAGGCCAAGGTCTGGAGTGGGTTCTGCTAGAAATCCACCAGCATGGATGTTCTCGCATCATGGCCTGTGCAGGACATGGGGCTGGCAAAGAGATGGCTATGTACGTGGCTATGCACTCCTCCTCCCCAGTGTTCCCAGCTGCTACATCACCCTGGAGAAGCTACTAATACATCAATACTTTCCCAGTGTTACTTGCAGCAGTGGGCTACCTGAGAAACTATCAGAAGGGATGTGCTAAGATCACAAATGGGAGGGAGGAGGAGCCAGGCGATGGCTAACAGGAAGAGCGGTGCAACCAACTGATGGCAAGTAGGACGGAAGATGTCTAGAAAACATTCCCTCAACTAGCATCTTGCCCACCCTATGAGTAAGGCTGACGACTCCTGCACCAGCTGACGGGGAATGATACAAGCACTAAAAGTCAACCAAAAATTTCATCCTAGCAGCACCAGTACCCTCTTTTCCAGGAGACCAGCTTCAGGGAAAGGGGAGGCAGCCAGTCTACTCAGCCTGTTACCTTGGCCCAGTTCAGCCTGTACAGCGATTGAAGCATGGGACGCACACTGCAGTCCCCATGGCCCCAGCAATGATGTTCAAGGCTTTCAGACCCTGCTGCTCCATGCAAGTCCTGCTGCCTCTCACCAGTAGGAGGCACCGAAAGGCCAGCGTACGACTTGTGAGCAGCTTTCAGGGGGGCCAGCGTGCAGACAGATACCGGTGCACAGATGCTGCACAACAATGCTAATCGGCCTAGCGTCCAGGGCAGCTTGTGCAGATCTGTCAGCCACATGGGGAGACCCCACCCCCATTTCATATTGTGAGTTGACCCTTCTGCCTCCTAGGACTTGCTAGCTTCAAACCACTCCAGGAGCTGGAGACTCAGGGCCCCCTTTCCCCTCCCACCTGTGACAGGAGTGCATGGTAGCAGGTAGTTCCCTCCACCCGTTCCCTTCTGTGCCAGACTCCCTACCTCGGAGGAGCAGGCCGTGGTTCGTGGTATCCACGGTAAACACCGGTTGCCAGGGCGATGCTACTGTGTGAGAGGGTGGGGTGATGAAGTGGCAAACAGGCCGTGGCGTGGCAGTGTCTGTGAGGCACACTGTGCCATCCCAGGAGAACACCAGCACCTGAAATAGCAGCAGGGCACAGAAGCTGCATGGAGAGCACTTGCAGGGCCATTCCCGTTTCCCTGGGCTGGGGCTGGGGCAGGAGAGAGAGCCTTAAAGCCTTAGCGGGATGCAGGAACCCTGCAGACCGGAAATGAGGAGCATGGGCCGGAGCTGTGTGGAGAACCCAGGGCTGCAATAGCGAAAATGCTGTGGGTCAGGATTGAGGTGCAACAGCAGAGCACCACTTACTGCACTAGGGCTGGCTCCGGCCAGATGCTTTTAACCCTTTATTTTCCACAAGGTCCTGGTGCCTGTTTGGAAATGGCTGTCCATCTCTGCTGGTCACAGGGCTCCACATTCCACCTGTAGTTTATAACTGGGTTGGGCTGGACTTGCCTTGTGACCTCTCCACACCTCTGGGATTTCCTGGGGGTGCTGCCACTCAGGCCTCACCTCAGTGCTTGGTGACTGAGGCCAGCTGCTAGTGCTGTGCCCCCAGGCCCTACTGCACAGTCATGCACTTCAGAGGACACCAGGCCCTAGAGGGGGAGACTCGCAACACTCACTGCACCAGGTAAGGCTGGAATCGGTGCTACTGCACTGATGGTCTGATCTGGGTCCTCGGACCTGTAAAGTAAACCCACTCTTAGGATGCTGCTTGGGTGCAGATGCAGCACTTTGAGGAGCCAGGAGAGCGAGAGCTGCAGTGCATGACTCAGGGGTTCACAGGGGATTTAGGCCAAATGCTGCCCTTCTGAGAGCAGCAAACTGGGAGCTGGCCCTACCATCAAAGGTCAGATTGGCAGGAGCATGAGCAAACGGGAGTTAGGCAGGCACAAGTCAGGGAATTCCACCCCAACTTCTGTTCCAAGCTCTCCTGGAAGAAGGCCAAGCAGGCACCAGCAACACCTCACGGTGGCTCCTGCAGGGACAATGCCTGCTGAGATATGGCTCCAGGCAGGGCTGTAGGGACAGGCCAAAGGGCAGCCCGAGCCTGTGGTCTCATGAGCTCATGTCTCACTGCGCATCAGCATCAGCCAGAGCTCAGAGGGAAGGAGATGCCCCGATCCATGCCTGAAGGACTGTGATTGTGTATTGCTAAACAAAGTGACTGTTGCTGCTAAGGTTGAGTGTTTGGTACTGATAATGGGGTGAGAGAGTTTGCTGGGTTGCTTCCTGCCTCGCCAAAGACAGTGGTGAGGTCTCCCAAGGGGAGGGAAAGTGTTTACAACTCTCTTCTAGCAAAGGGAACCCCCACCACGCCACTGAGACAATTTATCTAGCCTGTGACCAACCTCCCTGGGGCCTAGCAGAACCCACCTCACCTGTCTGCCAGGAGCACGGTCCTGGACTCTCTGGGCCCTGATATTATAACCAGGTGGAGAGACCCATCCGTACACAGCACCAGAAGCTGCACTTTGGGCCTAGGCAGCTGGTCCGTTGGGGCTGTAGATGTCTGCAGGAAGTGGATGGTGCGGCTGAGACATCCCTCTGGAAGGGCAGTCACAGCTAGTGGAAACCCTGGGAAAGGCACAAGCACCCAACAATCAGGAACAAACAGCAGTTTGGAGATAAAGGCGCCAGCACTGAATCTGGCCTCCACCTGAGAGAGAGACAGCCTGGCTCCAAGGAGGTGACCTCCATGTGAGGGAAGCTCAGCATGGTTCCACCCCACCCATGCTGAACTAATGGGCACCTCTGTTAGTACCATAGATAGCTAGTGACTTGTATGGGAGGGAAGTTGAGCATGACTCAATCTTATTGGCTTAGCTAGGAACTGGGCCAGGTTCTGTTTTGGGCTCATTTTGCCTGCAGTCCTCCTGGCTATGGTGCAGCATGGCAGGGTTGCCACTTTCTCAGCTTCGGCCCAAGGAACCCAAACTTTACGTTGCCATGTAGCGGTGCAGTATCACAGCCTGCTCACACTGCATCACCAATGGATTTGGGTGGGACTGTGGCCTGCTCTGGTGCAGTCAAAGGACCAGCCCAAGTACAGAACAGGGCACGCTCTTGAACTTTGCTCTGGGAGGGTCATTGCATCACAGCCCGGTGATGCTGTGAACCTGTCATCGGGAATCAGACTGTCAGGATGTAGTGACACTGCTTCAGCCCCACAAATAGCGTGAGGCTACGTCGTCCAGATGGGGGAATGTCCCGAAACCATCCAAGCAGGGCACTGGGAGCTTTAGCTGCTGCAAACATAACTGTGGGCCAGCCCCAAAGGCATTTTGGTTTCACTGTCCTCTTGCAGGACAGGGGATAGTTCTGTCAGAACTGGACCTGGCCCCTGAAAACTCGGGCCATGTGACATGACAGACTCTGCTACTCAGCTAAGGCCACCTGGGATGTTTGGCCACCTGTGGCTAGGGAACAAGCAAGCCTGCAGGTTTTTTTGGAAAATGTTCTTGAAAACCCCTCTGTGATCCAGAGCCTGCACATCCAGACCCCCAAGTCCCCAACAATTCCAGCAATGGGAGAGCTCACCTAGACTTCTGTCCCACACCGTTATCGTCCCATCTTCACATGCCAGAGCCATGTAAGAGGAGCAGGAGGTGACAGCTGAGCAGGTGATTGGAGCAGCACATGGCCAGACAGTGTCAGGTTTTAGCTCAGCATCTGGAGGGAGAAGCATGGCCTCTGAACAGCTGAGCCTCATCTTCAGGGAGAAGGGGAGTCCCTGTCCCCGTCCCTCCACATCAGCCCCTGGTGTGTGTCAGCCTTCTTGGGCTGAGTACAGTGGGTGCAGGTCAGGAGCTGCCTGCTGCAGTGGCCTCACTTGGGACACTGTCCATCTGGAAATCCTCACCATCCAGCTGCCACCCTGGCCTAATGGAGAAATGTGAGCCATGGAGCCAGTTCCTCTCCTCTCCTATGTCTTACTTCTTCTAGCTAATGAAAGCTGGCTCAACCCCCTCTCAACATTGGCCAACCGAGAGTGAAATGAAGTACTCCCTGCCCCCCAGCCATGGGGCTAAGGATGCTGCCTTTACAGGGTTCCCATCCCAGCTTGTCTGGGAGAACAATCCCCTTCCTAGTGTCATTAGACTTTTAGCCCTTAAGCCTCTTCCTCCTACCTGGGCAGGGTGGAAGCACTCTCAGGTTAGACCCAGTTTCCCTCCCTGCTGTGAGCTCACTGCTGGTTGCTATGAATGACTGAATCAGAAATGCTGAGGCTGTGGGAGACTGAGCTCCATGGGGACAAACATACGGTGCCCTACCAGGGCAAAAGGTATGGAAAAAGTCAGGGGCCGTGCCCTCTGGGAAATGTCAGCCTGACCGTGGGGGCCCTTTTCAGGTCAGGAAGATACAAGGGGGCCCTATTGGGAAAGGTCAGAAGATCTCCTGCCAGTGCAGGGTTAAAGGGAAAAGCCTTTTTGTACAAACCACTTTCTTTTGAAATCTACAGCAGAAGTTTGAAAATAAGAACCCTGCACTCCTGCCCCCCATTCTTTCGATTCTTACCCATTTTCTCCTTTGATGGCCGGGTGAGTAAATACAGGCAGAGATTGTGGCTTCCATTCCAATGCACAGTGATTCCAGTGGGCACGTCTGGAAGAGGGAGATCAGAGAGAGGAGAGGGGAGTGGACAGCTTGAAAGCCTGGGTTGCTTCCCCTAAAAACAGTCCCAGGAGTTGAGGGAATCTGAGTTACACAGAGAAGTCTCCTGTGCCAGCTGCATCAGCACACTGGAGAAACTTGTCTGGGCTCCGCATCCCTTGGAGTTGCTCATTCAGAGCCTGAAACAGAACAAAAGTTCTTATTCCTGGTGATATTTCTTTCCCTGCCTATCTGTTCTAACTGCCTATGTCACCCCCTCCCCCACCAGCTTCTCCCCCACACCTGGCAGTCCCCATTACAAGAGGTGGTCCAGGCAGCAGGAAGCCCAATCAACCCAAACCCACTGGGGACATAGACGTGTTTGGAGAAAGAGATTTGCTGTGCAATGGTGTGAGAACTATGCCCCTCTACCTTCAATAGCCATGCCCCCAGTGCCAGCATATATTGAGAGCAGCAGGCACCTGACCTATGACAACTTCCTTGGGGTCTGGGCCACACAGCTGGTTTGAGTGATGAGACGTTGGCGCAAAGATGGCAGGCTAATGCACTGGTGCCACTTGCTGGCCTGCCTGAGGATGGGAACTGCTGGTTAAAATGCTGGAGACACCAATTAGTTCGGCAAGAGGAAGGCTGTTTCTTTTACTGTATCCACAGCAGCCAAGCTGCCACAGTGACTCAGCCAGTCAGGAGCACGGGGCGTGCTCAAATGTGTCCACAGTGGGAGCCACATATTAACAGGGAGATTGTCTCAGGAGATCTCCCCTCCCATTCCCCGTCGCCTGGCCCTGACTCTCTGTCATTCGTAAACCCAGAGCATCCCTCTGATAGTGTACCGGGGGAAAGCATTTATGGATTTGGGGCTTCTTTAGTGCAATAAGAACTTTTCTTCACAAGGGACAATTAACCTCATGGGCACCTTCTGCTCTTCTCTTCCTCCCTCCCGCCCTGTTTCTCTCATCTGGGAAGAAGAAAGAGAGCCAGTTCTCCATGCATCACCGATTGGGAACATCTGTTGCAGCAGTTTCTGTGGCTGCTAAATTATAAACAAAGAGACGGCTGGACACGGACAGAGAGCTTCACCGCTGAATCATGAACCAGAGGAAGGCAGTAAGCAATGACACTTGTTGCCTTTGGCCCACTCACAGCACTTCCTGGCCTATGGCAGTGCCCACTTCACCCTGCTTTGGTTAGGGCCACAAGAAAGTAGCCAATCATCGCTCTAGTCCCGCATCCTCCCTCCCAGGGTGACCAATGTCAGATGCTGCAGAGGAGGATATAAATCTTCTCTTGTGCAGTAACAGACCATGGGGCAAGTTCTTATGAACCCAGCTAGCATTTTACATGTGCCTAGTGCATGAGGATTGATAGCCCTTATCATTTTCATCCGGGCTTGTGTCTTTGCAGATGCTATTCTTTGTCATAACAGTGCCTGATCTAGTTTGAAACTCAATATCCTGCAGCAGTAAGTTCCACAGGTTAATGATGCATTCTGTCTATCTGCTTTATATTACCTGGCTGTGCTTTGATTTCAGGTCCGATCTGCAGTATCCGGCCGGGCAGGAGAAAATGAAACACAGCATGGCTGAGAAAGGAAGGGATAATAAATACATGCTATGGAAATACCTTGATAAACAGGGCAATTCAACATGATCAGGAGTGGCTGTGGCCATACCCTGATGGCTTGGGACCAGGGAGCCAACGTCTTGGGCCCCGGTTCAGAGTAACAGTTGGGAAGTGCCCTGGAGATGGCGGTGTGTGATGGCAACTCCTGTGAATCCCTGGGCTGAAATGCCAGCATGCAAGGGTTGGAGGTGCACTCCTGCATCCCTCTCACCTGGGTTTCTCCTCCTTGCTGTCAGGCTCACTTTCTCTCTCCAGATGCTTTTGGAAGGTGCTGCGAAAGATTGCGTCCTGCTGTTCCCATTGGTAGTCTTTGATCACGTGATTCTGTCCCAAGCCGATCACACTGCCATCATCAATCTTCATCAAAGCCTCCAAAGGGCTTTTAAAAGTGCTTCCTGGATCGTGAACACCAAGGGGGGAGAAAGAGATCCAGAAGAAGCAGAATCCATTGAGATCTACGAAAGCTCTTGGGGGAGGGGTAACCCTTCCCCTTTCATGTAGGGTCATACCATCATGGAGGTGGGAGACTTGAGTCCATTCTCCTCCCTTGGGTGGAAGCACCTCTCACAAGCCTTTGACCTAGCATAAGGCCCAGGTCCATGGCCAGGAGCCAGCTCCTTTTACAAAAGCAATGGTGGCTGCTTTCTGCCTCACCTCTCCCTGGGGAAAGGGCCTAAACCCCAGGCTGCCTCCCTCTGTGCTCGACTCTCTGATCAGCTGCTCTACCCCTGTATAGCTGGTATTGGATAGGGATCATGTGGGCTCAGACAGCCAGGCTGGGCCTGGCACTGCTTTTGGTAAGAATAAGGGTGGAGGAGAGGAAAGGCCACGAAGACCAGGCAGTAAGCAAGAGGACGAGATTCAAAGCTCCGTGGGGTAGGGATCATATCTGCATGTGTGTGCGCCGTACCCCACTACCATAGAGCCTTGGTCACGGGTGGGGCCTTTGGGCACCACTGTAATATACATAATAATCATTAATAGAGGTGATGCATCACTAATGCAGCTGGGATACTAACAGCTAAGTAAGCAGCGAGTCCCACTCCAGGATCAGAGATGAGCCACAGGCAAGGGGCAGGGTGGAGCCAGTGGGCATTTTACTGTAAGTTTTGATCTTTATGTTGCTATCCAGCCACTCACATAGAGAGAAACACAAAAAGACAGACACATACAAGCACCCAAAGAGAGAGAGAAATATGCAGAGAGACACAACCATTATTATTTAACCAGACTTGAGTAAATTCCCACTTCCCCACCACAAACAAAGGGCCCGAGAGAAGGGGCCTGACCTGTCAGAGGTTTGGGCGACCTAACCTTCAGCAGCAGCACTGGGGGACTCAGCTTAGTTTCAACTCTGTTTGCAGACATAGGTGATTCCTGCAACGGAAGAGACAGTCACCTTGAGCACGGGCACTTCCAGGAGCTGCTCTGTGGCCTATGCTGCCTCATGCTACCAACAACGAAGTTGTCACAGCTGAACACCTGCAGAATTGTTCCCCTGGGAATCAAACCCTCCTCCCAGGAAGGGTTTGCAGAGTTCCCCTCCCAGCATGCTGCTCCCACTGTCCCTGTGTCCACTATGTAGGCCATGCCCCATGGGCCTGAGGGAGCCAGAGCTTCCATCTGAAGAGAAACATGCACAGCCCCATGGGATCCTGCTTGCATTAGCGCTCCACCCTCAGCTCTTCCCCAGATGCCCCATCACCCAGTGCTCCAAATACCCTACCCTTTAGGGTACCCTAACTACCATTAGAGATCCCTCCCCAAAGGTCCCCAGATACAGCATGGTCCTGGGAACAGTATGTGATGTCTTCAGGCTCCAGTGAGAGTGGATCAGAGGTGAGGGATACTCAGATTGCTGCTGAGTACAAGAACCAGTGTAGGCTTCAAGGGACCTGTGATGGGGTAGAATCCCCTCTGCTTGGTTGGGAATGGGGAATCGGACACTTGCCACAAGCAGGAGGCCAGCATCAGCTTCCTGCCCTCAGCACTAGTCCTTGCACAGAGACGTGGCTAGGTACCTGAATGGGGATTAGTGAGAGTGAGGACCTAGGTGTATGCAAGGGCGAAGGGGAGTTCTTGACATGAGTACTTGGAGCAGTAGAGAAGGGAATGTTAGGTGTTCATTTGCCTTGGGTCTGAGTCATTGGGGGCGGGGAGCTGGCCTGTCAGTGCTGAAGAGCAACTCCTGTTAAATGGCAAGGCCAGCCTCTGCTGATCTCGGGTCTGGTGGGGACTAGCCCAGGTGAACACTGGAATGGATCTACTGGATGCTTAGAACAAAGAGTGTGACCCAGATTCCTGGTGCTCCTCCCCAAAAGGTGGGATGCAGGGGGTTCAAAATGCAGCCACCAACTCAACATCCATAATCTTCCTGGAGAGCTTGGTAAGTTCTCACTCAGGCCTTGGTTACCGTTTCTGCAGAGCCCTCTCCTGGCAGTTCCAGACTTTTCTGCCAAGGAAAATGAAAGAGGCTGTGGTTAGTTCATACAAGCTGACCATGGTAATCCAGAGCATCCCCTTCTCCACCTGAGCAAGTGGGGCTCTGACACACAGCCAGGTCTTCTCTTTGGCATGGGACTGAAAAATGAAGCCAATTCAAAGAAGCCCAGACTGGAGGATCAGCTTCCCTGACTCATACTTGGAGATACCTCACCCAATTCTCAGTTACACTAAGGCCCTTTTTGGCCATTCTGCCAGTATGAAGGGCATTTCAGGGGGTAGAAATGGCTGCCTGAGAAACCACCCTGCACTGGATGCCTCCCCAGTTGGGGGCAATACTTATGGGGAGGGGAGCACATTGGATTCTGGCCTCTGATCTCGAGGAACCTCCTTGGAAAACTTGACCTGTGGGTGACAATAGTGGCCCAACAATACGAGGGGTTTGTGAAATGTGGGTTGGGTGACAATGTCCCCACTTTCTTCCCCATCAGTGTGCTGACAAACCCGCTCAGCCTGGTGGAGCTGTGAAAACAAGGGCTATGGAAAGAGATGGAGGTGAAAGGGCAAGACAGAAGATATCTCGGTAGGAAAGAAAAACATTTTGCACCGTCGACGCCTGGCTGAACCTCCTCTCTCTGAAAGATGACACTACTGCAGCTGCCTGGGCATGGTCTGTCTCCTTCAGCCAGGAATCCTTAGGCAATCGGTAGATCTCCAGCCAAGCCTCTGTGCTGCCTGCATTGGGAAACTGCATTGAGCAATTGGAAAGGAGGAGAAAAGGTCTCTCAGGCAAGAGGACGCTGCTGTTATGTACCCTCATGAATGGGATTAGGGTTCCCTTTCAAATGTAGGATCCCCGAGCTCATATCCCCACAAAGCCCTGTGTCGGGGATGCTGATCTAGGGACTGGAGCTATACTCATTGGGTCATGTTGCAAAGTGGTCTCCTATTGGCTGCCTGTGGGGTGTCACATCTGCTTTTCTAGCCCTCAAGGTTCCACCAGAGCCCCTTTGTGGGCACAAAGACCCTGCTGGGGCAGAAGAGGGCATTCACTTGGCTCTCACTGCTCTGAGACAAGAATTGTGACGAGGAAACCCCTGTGATTTGGCGAGGGTTGTTTACTGCAGCAGGTTCAGGAAGAGCCTCTCTGTGCAGTTCTCCAGCCTGTGTCAGAGCAGAGAGCCTCTCAGTATACAGGCCCATATGCTCCCAGTGTAAATGTGGGGCCTGGGGACAGGGTTGAGGAGCTGGGGTTGGTGATCAGAGCAGGAGGAGGGAGTCTGCTTTGCTTTGAATGGCCTGTCTGGCAGACCCAGAGGCACCACTGACCAGCCCCAGAGCGAGCTGCCTTCCAGGATTAGCTGGCCGCACGGGCTGGGTCCCTGCTGGGCCTTTGGCAGATGAAAGGGAGAAGTGTCAGCCCTCCTTGGCTGGAGGGACACGTTGGGGTGACTGAGGAGGGCACTGGGGAATCCCAGAGGATGCTCCCTAGACTGGTGAGTAAGTTTTACAAAGCTCCATGAGCTGCAGGCCCCACCCATTGAAGCAGGACAGCCAGCATCTGATACACTTCCTGGGTCCCAACAGGACTTGCCTTGCAGCAGGATGCCTGCATAATCGCCCCTCTGGGAGAGCTCCGCCTCCACACAGGTGTTTCTCTTGCTGATCTCTTCCTGCCAAAGAAAGGCATGCAAGCATCAGAAAAGGCTGGGGCTGCTGAAAAGGGACAGTGATGCTTGCTGTGGTGTGCCCTTATTGCTAATGGACCCGGGGAATTTGACTGAAAAGAGGCAGGCGCCCCGGGAACAGGTCTGGGAAGAACGTTCCATGCGCAGAGGGTTGGTGTAGGAGCAGGAGGGGAGGAGAAGATGCCCTTGTTCTTGGGGGTTTGCTCCTGCACCTCACAGTGCTCCAGGATTCTCAGGTAGGGCTGGAGGCCAGAGGTGCCTTTTTCTGTGCGCATTGGGCTAAACTGTTGTGTCCATTTTCTTCAGCTCCACACCTCATCAGAGTCAGGCCTCCACTGGCTTAGTGCAGCGGGCTCTGCATTGGGCTACCCTTGAAAGCCACTCACGAGCACCAGCAGGTGCAGAATGTATCTTCCGCAGGGGGAGGAGTGTGGGAGAAAGGCAAGAAGGAAGCAGTGGCATGGGCAAAGCAAAGGTGATAAAGGCAGAGAGAGCTGAGAGCACAGACTGGCGGGGGGTAGACGGGGCAGGGCCTTGAAGACTGGGACAGGAATCTCTACAGCCACCTATGGTTTTGGCCCTCAGTGGGGAGCCTTCAGCCCTGAGAGGCTCTTCCCAAAGCCTGAGCAAAGGTTCGTTCCTTTGGCCATGGGGCGTCCAGGTTGTCTGTGATCAATGTAAGGCTGGCCTTGGGCAGTGGGGGTGTTTGCAGAGAGCATGCCTGCAGGGTCCGTGTGCCTGTTGCCCAGCCTGAGGGATTCTCTGAAGCCAGGGATGGCAACAATGGGACACCCTGCCGCCCTGTGGGGTTTGTCACAAAGGAGTTGTGCAATGCACAGAAGGGGAGGGGGGCCGGAACCTGCCAGGTGGCCAGAGTCCCCAAAGTCTTGACATGCAGCTATAGCCCGAGGCCCAGCCCCCTGTGAGTGGCTTGGGAGGGCCGAGAAGCTTTTCAACAAGCTAAAGAGGGGAAACAAGTACAAATTGTGCCCCAACCTAGAGCTCCCTCCAGCCCAGCACCCCCCCCAGCCCAGAGGCCCCCCACCCCACCCCTCTGCCCGAGCCCCCCAGCTTCCCCACCCCTTGGCCCAAGCCCCACCAGCCCAGAGCCCCTCTGCCTGAGCCCCTTCAGCCCAGAGCCCACCCCCCACCCCCCCGTGCCTGAGTCGCTCTGGCCCAGTCCGCCAGAGTCAGACTCCACATTTTTGAAGACAGGCTTCTTTAGTGTTGAGTTAGTTTGTTGCTGAATGCTGATGCACCTCTGGGATTTTTACATCTCAGAGGAGATTCTGGGCATAACCTGGGGTCTGTACCAGGGATAATGCGGGTTCAAAGGGGATTACAGGTGAGTTATGCACCACTGACCCAGTTACCAGGACCTCTGATCTCCATTCCAGCTGCTGCCCTTAGCCACATGTTTCCTGAGTGCTGTTAGTAACCACGATTATTTATTACACAGAGACTTTCGCCTCAGTGCCCATGACACACACAGAGGACTTACCACTTCATTTAGGACTTTAATGAGCAGCAGACTGTCTTTGTAAAAATAAAAGAGACGGGCAAGTCCTGGAAGAGAAAAACAGAGGCAAGAAGTGGGTGGGAAGAGAGTGAGGGGCACAGCTCAGCTCCTTTGGAGGGTGCAGTAATGGCACTAGGACTAGGTGCCTTCTGTGGCTCTCAGAAGACTCAGCCACAGCTTGCTGTCTAGTGACACACAGAGCAGTGCTGATGGCCCCAGCCAGAGGGAATACAGACGCTGCAGTGGGAGTGCTGCAGCCTGGGCAGACAGACTTATGCTAGCTCCACTTCAGCTACCATGCTAAAAATAGCAGTGTGGACGTTGTGGCATAGATGGCAATTGGCAACTTGGCCAAGTCCAAGCCTGCCTGACCCCCTGGCTCTAAGCTCGGGTGGCTAGTCTGAGCTGCTACTCTTGCTGCCTCATCCACACTGCTATTTTTACAGTGCTAGCTTGAGCCCCACTAGCGTGAGGTCTGTCTGCTTACTGGGAGGCTTGCTGCTAGCTGCAGTGTAGACATAAGCAGAGAGACCTGCATCCAGCCCTCCTCCCCAAGAAAACAGAGCTTCAAATGGGAAAGGGGGAGGTGGGTGTGAGCCCCAGGCATTTTCATGCACTTTTCAGCTATTGGAGTCAGTGCAGCAATGCTCAGAACTTGGAAAGCATCTATGCATCTGTCTTGCTAGGGGTGTTACACCAGCAGCCAGGACATGGGATTTCACATGTCCTCCCCCCAACGCACACCCTAGGGTGGCCACATTAGCCACAAGTCCAGCATGGAGATGGCCTGTGCTCCAAGGGGATTTGCTCAGATCCAACTTTCTTCTCTCTAATGGAAAGAGAACTAAAACCAACTTCATTAGTGTTGGACTCAACCAGAAGCCAATGGACCCTTCTGGGACTGCTGCATACACTAGTATCATGGTAAGGCCACTGGACTCAATATGGAGCTGACATCTTTTCTCCTCAGCCTAACCTCCACACTGCAGTACACTGACTGTCCCTGAAGTGGAAGGGCTGGATGAAAGCCTCCGCCTTGAAGCCCAGCATCATTACTCCTTGACTGGCTCAGGGTATTGCTACAGAATGTGAGAGGCGCTGAGTGTGCTGCTTCCCCCATGTAACCAACCTCTGTTGCGCAACAGGGAGGGCACTAGCTATGGCGCCACCCCCTCTCTGAAGTCTGTTGACTAGTCCCCATTATTTGCAGGACCCTCTCAGAAATGTGTTACTCATGCTTACTTCCATCCTGCTTTAGCTCTTTTCTACTGAGTAGATGCCACTTCCCCCACCACCTCCATTCCATCATGGTGCAAACTTGTCCTCAAAGTTCTCCCCATGTGGGACTTGAGGAAGCTCATGGGGCACCTACCCATCTCATCCACGGTAACGAAAAGGTGGGTCTCATTGCCAAGGTTGGAGGTACGGATGGCACAAATCTCTAGCCTGGCTGACTCCCAAGCACAGACCCGCTTACAGTTGGGCATGCTGAAAACTGCAAGCCCTGTGGAGAGTCCAACAAAGACATGCTGTCCAGAGGCTGCGAGGCAGTTGGCTCTTCCCATCACCTGCAGAGATGAAAAACAAAGCAGAAGAGAACATGACCCTGCCCCGCCACCCCATGACAGGGGGACTGATCAGCTACACCAGCCATTTGCCGGCGAAATCCTATGACCTTCACTAGGGCATGAAGTCTAGCTCCAATTTCAGAAAGATCCCACCAATATCAAGGATGAGGAACTTCTTCAAGGGAAGCTTGCCCTGTCACCGCCAGTGCTAGGGATAAACAGAAGCCTTCAATCCCCAGGCACTGTTCAGTAGCACTAGAGCTTTCCCACACCCCACTACTCCCACAGGGAAAGCGGAGCAAGTGCAGACATTCTCCTCAGAAAGCCCACACAGTCCCTGGGCACCATGCAGCTGCATTCAGTGTTGCTCTGCACCATTTCTAAAGTATTATTTTTAAAACGCAGTTGAGTTTGTCCATATGATAGCAACAGACTCATCAACTTCTCCAGAATAAGCAGGGGCTAGGGTCAGTCTGGCGTAGAAAAGCAGAGGGTGAGCCTGACATGATTTAATACCACCTCGCCTCTTTCAGGAGGGTGAGATGGGCTTTGAAATGGGCCATGTCCTGTACTTCTCAGATGAGCAAGCTTAGAGCTGTAGCCTTGTGGAATGAAACTGAAAGCGAGGGAAATGCTAATGGCGTCTCAGGAATTTAAATGGGCAGAGGGGTGACAATTGAAGAAGAAAGCAAAAGGAACTGAACTGACAGTGCCTCGACAAACTGTTGCAATGACAGGTGGCAGCTGTGCTATGAAGGGTCTCAGTACCTGGAATTCAGCTGTGGGCAGGTACAACTTGGGCTGGACCTTCAGTGTCTGTGCCTCTCGAAGTGCCTCCTTTTTCTCAATGATTTCCCAGGCCTGCTCGAATACTAGGGTCACCAATTTATTGATCATCCGGAAAGGCTGAGGCAATGAATCAAAGATTTGATCGGGATCCTGCAGGAAGAAATTTTCTTCCTCATCCTTCTTAATCCAGTCCTTTTCAGAAGGTGGAGGGATCTCCAGGGGATGTTTCCGGATATATACTGGCATCTTTCTGTCTTCCCTGGTGTGATGACAACACAGGTGCCCGTCACAGTAGATGGAGAGACCCAGGAAATCCTACAGTAAATAGATCCTTGAGATAATGGGAGGAAACAGATGATAATACTTAGGAACTAGCTATAACAAAGAAAGAAGCTTCCTATCTTTATATGGAGAAATGACTATACCTATTTTGTAGGACTCACTTCTGCTTTCCTCATTGTCTTCCCATGGTCTCCTCTACAGCTCAGTGCTGTGCCATGTGAATACCATCCACGTGGATATATGCAGGTTAAGTACACAGGTGATTAGACATCTAAAATGCACAGCTAGTTATACAAGTTTTAGGTGTGGTGTTACAGATCAGTTAGGATACAGGTAGACTGGTTTTTGCCTGTCTCCCTGCTGACCCAGCCTGGAGAAAGTCAAAGATATGATTTGTTTCAAAGGAAAACTTTTCAAACTGCTTAAAACTTTATTTATTTCTAAACCATGTTTCTTCGCACTAGTCAAAGGCCTGTGTCAATGTGAACTAAGCTTATGGCAAGTTAGAAGCTCTTAAATTAACCGACAGGGCCTGTGACTTCCTAGATGTTTGTACAGTGCCTAGTACAATGAAGCTCCAGACCTGATGGGTGGCTTTGGGACTTTACCACAATGATCAGAGCACAGAAATATCGTCTAAGATGACACTTGGAAAACAAAACATTTCCTACTGACACAACCCAGAAAGGGCCAAATGGAACTGTACCAAAATTTCCCCTTTGGGCTGAAAAAAAAGCGTAAAAAAATCCAGCACAAAAGAGTCATTGTCCTGCAAAGTTACAGAGAGCTGTACACAGATGTTGCAAATGGAAGAGTTTCCTCCCCTGTAAACTGAAGGCTGCTAGCACAGTACTATGGGATCATGATACATGGACTTTAATCAAACCCAAACACCTTGGGCATGCTCGTGTTTTCTTCTATGGCCTTGTCTTCACTGCTAAAGCAGATGTTTTTCCTTCAGGGTAATTAATGTGCATGATCTATCTATTGCAAGGTAAAAACACAGTGAAGACAAGGCACTTTAGTTTTAACACAAGGCACACTAGATGAGATGTAGTGCTGACCTCAGTGAGTCTACCTCACAGCAAAACTGAAGTGCCTGATCTTCACTGTGTTTTTACCTCAGGACAGTTCACGGATGTTAGTACCCCATTTTTATGGTAAAAAATGCACCTTTTTAGCAATGAAGACAAGGCCTAAGAGCTGTTTGTTTTTAATAAATGAGCACAGACCCCGTTGAGCTTGCATGTGCTTTGCTGCTACCTTAGCCAAACACCTACAGGCTGAGAGACCACGCCCTAAGTTATGCAAGCTTTTTCCACTCTGCCGCAGGCAGTGATGATGCTGGAGGAGCTCTAAAATGTCCACAGATAAACGAGTGCTGTGTAGGTTTATTTGGCTCAGGGCTGCAGGCCTTCTTGACTCAACCACTCATACAGAGAAAGTGGGGTGAGTGGCCAGTGTGTGTGAGCTGGCAACTGCAGGGTTGCCATTTACCACCCCACAAACAAGCCTGGGAGCAGATAGTAGGCCCTAGACAAAACAACTAGAACTGCTTAGGTACAAATCAGGATCCATGATGTCTTCTACAATGAAGGGCATGTCAAGGGATAGAGAGTGGGGGAGACAGATAAATGAGAGGCAGGCTTTGATGTGACCCTGAAGACCAGGTGATTCTGGGGTAAGTGCTGAGTCTTACTGCAAGGTTTAATTTTCAAAGCTGGGAGACCCAGCCACTGGATTTTCAGGGGGTCTCCTGGAATTAATTCCCCCTGTTCATGGGGATGGGCTATTGCTGAGGAGATCCCCACTTCTGGGGAGGGTGTTGCTGAGGGGATCCCCATTCCCATGTTAGGGATAACCATTCCCTGGGAGGTGCTGCTGAGGGGGGGTCCCCATTCCTGGGAAGGGAGGGAGGCTTGCTGAGGACACATCCCCGTGATTAGTCCCCTCCTCCTCACTCACCTGTAATCGACCGTTGATCGGTTGCTGTGGTAACTGCTGCGCTAGGTCCAGTCGGAGCTAGGTCCGGGTGGAGACAAGGCCCCACGGCGGAGGGTTCCGGGCCCAGCTCCATGGGGTGGAGCCTGTCTGTGTGTCCCGGGCGGCGGGCGGGGTAAGAAGCGGCCCCGGTATCCCGAGTACGGCCGGAGGCTGCGGGGGCTTCGCTTCTCTTCCGCCCCGCGGCAGCATGGAGGCGTTTGTGAACTTCACCAACCAGACCCAGGGCCGGGACCGGCTCTTCCGGTGAGCGGGGCCGGGGGCTCGGGCTGAACTTGGCCCTTGCCGCGGCTGGGGTGTGTCGGCAGCTCTGACTGGTCCCGCCTGCAGCGCCGAGCCGGGCGGGCGGTTTACCCGAGCCTCCCTTGACAGCGCTGGGAGGGGGGATTGCTCTGCGGTGCTGGGAGCCACTGCCGGGGCCTCCGCGCAGCCAGCCCTGACCCGGCGCCTGACCTCAGTACCCCAGCGCGGTGCTAGGGGGTGCTGTGGGGTGCGGGGCTCGCTATGGGGCACGCTCCCCCCCACTCAGTGCTGACCCCACGCGGTGCCAGGGGGTGCTGTGGGGTGCGGGGCTCGCTATGGGGCACGCTCCCCCCACTCAGTGCTGACCCCAGTGCGGTGCCAGGGGGTGCTGTGGGGTGCGGGGCTCAGTATGGGGCCTGCTCCCCCCACTCAGTGCTGACCCCACCAGTCAGGGGGTCTGTGGGTAGATTCAGTATGGGGCCCCCCCCCCACTCAGTGCTGACCCACCATGCCAGGGGGTGCTTGCTGCGGGGCTCAGTATGGGGCCTGCCCCCACTCAGTGCTGACCCCAGCGCAGTGCCAGGGGGTGCTGTGGGGTGCAGATTCAGTATGGGGCACACTCCCCCCCACTCAGTGCTGACCCCAGCGCAGTGCCAGGGGGTGCTTGCTGCGGGGCTCAGTATGGGGCCTGCTCCCCACTCAGTGCTGACCCCACGCGGTGCTGGGGTGCTGTGTGGGGGCTCAGTAGGAGGCAAGCTCCCCCAGTCAGTGCTGACCCAAAACCCCAGTGCGGTGCTGGGGTGCTGTACTGCAAGGAGCTACCAGCCTTTGGATGAAAAGTAAAAGTCAGGTCCTTGCTGCCTGTGGCTATTACTGATCTCTGGGTACTTTCCCCAGGTGAAGGGGTGTTTGCCCCAACGGCCTGCCACCATCCATCTCCAGTTACTTGATTGTTCTTCTGTAAACTTCCCCCAGTTTCAATTCAGTTCCTTTACTCAGTTGTGTCTTTCTCCTTTGTAAGCTACCAGATTCAGTTGGAGGCATTGATTTTTACTTCCAATTCCAAATTGTGCAATGTTAGTGTGTGCTCATACAGCTCCTGCGTTCCACTCCAGAGTTGGCTGGGTTTCAGCAGTGGGTTAGGTGATTTATGAAGCTTACCCCTTCCATGGGATCTCTCCATATTCTACCTACTGCAGTGGATATCTATTGCTGCTTAATGATTGCTGGGGCCACAATACAAATAACAGACTCTGGAAAAAAAAATTCTACTGATCTGCATCTTGTTCCATCAGGGACACTGGCTTCGCCCCTTCATAGACCCAGAGCCTTGCTGCAAGCTAGCATTTTTGCACTATTTGCCTGTGGATATTTCAGGCAGTATTCGTTTACCTTGCCACTGAATGTGCCCAACAAAACCCTTTATTGGCTGCTTGCTGCTCAGCTGCATGGTCTCCCGTTGTCATGTTCACACTGTATTTGCGTTGCTTCTCACATTGCATGCTGTAGAGTGCTGACCCTAACAAGTAATATCATGTGATTTTTATACCTCGCGGTGCTGTCGCATGGGTATGGTCCATGGGGAGTCCCTAACTTGGGAAGAAATTGTTCCTTTCTCTTCTTCCCCCCCCCCCAGCCCCATGATTGGTCCTTGTGTCCTGTGAACCATTTTCCTCATTTTTTCCATTCCAGAGCCATTCAACACACATGCATGTTGCTTAGCTATTTATTAAAGCATAAGGCTGACAAAGAGACGGTGATAATGAAGCTCAAGGAGTTGGAATCTAGCATGCGCTCTGGCCGCAAATGTAAGTACCCCATATCCGGACGGATGGTCCCTCTTCGTATTGCTTATTCCAGCTAAGCAGATGCCAGTTGTGCCGGCTCTTAAGTAGTTAACTTACCATGCAGCCTCGGATCATAGGACCTCATTTTGCATACTCATGGAATAGTAGATACACCCTTCCCCCACCGCATTTGCACTCACTTTATTACCTGCTGTGTTGTATGGTTAGCACTGCTCAAAATACACATGGCAGAGCCAATGCTGTGGAGTAAGTGAAAGCCAGCTTGTTGTAATCCATGCTGTGAACTGAAATATATGATACCTGTGGGCTGGGAACTAGCTGTAGCATTATTCCCCTAAAAATGTGCGCCTGAGGAAAGGTGTTGTTCTAAGTTGGTCAGACTGTGAATCATTAGCCCTCAAGACTAATTTAGAAAGGGTGTAGCTCAGGGGTGCAATGGGATTGGTACACTGGCACCTTCCTTCCAAGAAGCTGGGTTACATCCTCTTCAGCTTACAGCAGAGTGTCTGTCTGTATCGCTCTTTCACTTACACCGTAGAACTTAGCATGATCGGTAGTACCCGTTCAGAAGAGACCTCAGAATGGGACTGGAGTAGTGGAGGGTGTTCTAGGTCACGACAGACAGGCGGGCATTGGCAGAGCTGTGTGGATGTCCCAGACTGGAATGGCAGGGGATGCTGCCAGTGAGTATTGAGGTGCATCAACCAAACTATATGGGGGAAGCTTGTATTGTATCTGTCTACTATACATGGCTCTACTATTGCCAGCCTCTTGCTTCTGCAAATACAAAGTTACCCTTAAATGAAAAGACAATATTTAAATATACGAGGCCCAGAAGACCAATTAGTTGTTGAAAAGCAGAACTGGATGGCAGCCTACAGGGAGTGAGCCACGCTAACTTCTCTGGGTTCTCTTGCAGTGTTCAGACTGGGGAACATGGTGCATGCCATGGTAGCAGCCAGGAGAACTACTCAGCTACCAGACCTGGTGCCCCGTCTCTGCCTGACAGCCTCCAACTTCAGCCGTGTCCTGTATTTCATCTGTGACACAGTCCTGTGGGTGAAGAGTGTTGGACTCGTCCCTGACATTGACAAGCAGAAGTGGCGGAATTGGGCTACCAAATGCTATTACTATTCACTGCTGATGAATTTGTCCAGGGATTTGTATGAGATCTCCTGGCAGATGGAACAGGAGGCTCAAAGGAAGAAGGCAAGGAAGGAGAACTCTTCTCAATGTGACAAACAAGATCAGGACCTGTTCAGTTTCCATGCAGATGGGTTGCAGCCCTTTCTCCTCCTGCTGTACTGCACACTGAGGAAACACCCTCCCTTGTTGCTAGACACAGTGAAGAACCTTTGCGATCTCTCTAGTCCTTTGAACCAGCTGGGAATCTACAAAACCAACCCAGGAGTTATTGGGCTCTGTGGCCTCCTCTCATCCCTGGTGGGGATCCTCACAGTGGCAAGTCCACATATGAAGTTGAAACACTGATCTGAGAGCATCACATACGGTGAGCTGGCAGATTTGCTTCTCTGACCATTTTCATTCCAGGATGGTATTTTAAAAATGAACACATTTGATAATCGCTCTTCATATGTGTTTTTTTCTGGAGGAGTCAGCTTTACTTCTTCCTACTTCCTGATATCCTCTCAGGTGAGGAGCTGCCCTGTGCTGTGACATCCTACATGATGAAGGAGAATGGTGAAGAGGCTGTGTAAGGACTGAGCAAAACATTCCTGAAGAATATTGTGAACCATGGAAATCAAGACTTTTTACAAATTGCTGCTAGTTAAGGACATGTTGCTGTCTCCTGTATTTGAATAGAGATGTGGAATAGCTGCATAGGCAACTACAATTGTATAAAAAGCCATAAGGAGTGGTGCTGACACTGGAAAGGCAGAATTCACCAACGGGGGTTCATACAATCATTCGTCTTTTTTGAATACATTCAAGCATGTTGGTACCAGAAAGGCTTTGGGAACTGTAGTTCAAATGGCCTGGATTAAAACATGAATTCTGTGAGGGAACTGGATGATGCCCGGGGACTGTTAATTGGATATATGGAGCTTTTCATCTCTAGGCAGTGGTTCAAATCCAGCCCAGGCTTATAGTAACTGAAGAGTGCTCCTGTTTGGTGATATAGTGGTCACCATTGAATATGTATTGGTGGGACTGGATCCAGTTGCTAGTGAATAGATGTCTATATCCCAGAAACCACCACTCCATCTGCCCTCCTTGTTGAGAATACAAGGCCAAGGATTGCTTGGGCCATGGAATCTGAATTCCTCTCTAGAAGGGTTCTTCCAGGTCATGGTTAGGTACACTCTTTTTCCAGTGTATGTAGGTAGCTTACTTCAGTGCTGCTCATGCTGGGATAAGCAAAGGATTTCAGTCTCCATGAAATCCATGGTGCTGATCTGGCACCATTCACCAGCACTAGCCTTCCGCCAGATACACACACCAAACCCTTGTAATCCCAGGAAGGTGATGATTTCTGTACTCTCTGAAGCAGCTTTTGAACTGATATCGCTTTAGTTTTGCTGAAAGTTTTCAAATATCAATTTTAAATCCTTATGCTATTGAGAGAAACCTGCCCCAGGGCTGCTGGTGAGTGAGCTGGAATGACGCTGCCAGGGGATGTTGTCAGAAAAGGGAACTTACACTCTTGGACTGGGATGGGCTTGCTGATGCCAAAATCCTTTGATAAGCACCTGCAAGAAGAGAATCCTTTTATCTGACCCTCTCTAGAGTCTACCCCATCATGGCCACCTGCTTGGATAAGGACAAGTGATTTTTCTCATATGTCACCTCTCTGTTTGTGTGGGTTCTACCACTCTTATGTCCCTTTCATTCTCCCAGTCATCTAGGTGGAATGTTGCTTTGAATTATTACACAGGTTCCGGGAGAAAATACTGTCTAGTTTTCTAAAGTGTATGATGTACGTTGTTTGACATCCTTTTGGGTGAGGGGGACTGACTTTACAGAAATCCCCGTTTCATTAGCATCTGTGGCTCAGCTCCTGTAGAATCTACTTGTGATGCAAGAGCTAAAATGATCCCTTCTCTGTGTCTGAGCCTGTTCTGTGATCTCTGCTTCCCACCAATGCAGAGACTTCACTCCTCCCTGCAGCTGGGAGGGCAGGGTGGCGAGTTTACGACCTTTCCCAGCAGTTTTCTGGTACAGAGGGACTGTCGAAGGGCCAGCCTAGTCACACTGACTCCAGGTGAGACAGTCTAAGAGTGAAAAAACTCTCCTGCGCAGAGAAGGGGGATAAGTGAGGAAAGGTTTTCAGGCTGGCTTGCCTCCTCAAAGCCTTTCCCCACCAGGGGCTGACCTGTAACACCACCACCTGGTTCTGACAAGGATGCTCGGGCTTCCAGGCTCACTGCTGTGGGATTCCAACAGGCTTGTGTTAGTCCTTTCCTTAAGCAGGTCAGTGGATTTTAGAAGCTAATACTTGTGGTTCCCCCTGCAAGCAGGAATCTATGGGTTTAATGTATTTAATTTAGCTTAATATAACGAAAGCTGGAGAATTAACCAAAAGGAGAGAATTCTTTAGGTCAGCCTCCTCCAGGCTTCTGGAATAAGGGCTGCTGCTGCTGTACATTGTCTAGGGAAACACAACTAATAAACTGAAGCGAGTTTGAATCTGTGTCTGTTTCAGGGTTATGTGCAAAGGAGGTGGCTGAAGGTTGAATCAGCAGAGATGTGCTGCCTATGCGTGCAGCTGGATTACAGACCTTTCCTCTTCGGAGCACTGGGAAGGGGGAAGGTCAGCCACACTCCTCAGGATTGAAATGAGCATGATTTCATTTGGAAAGGAGTTGGGGGAGCAAATATGCTCCAGGTGCTTGACATCTTGGATAACGAAATGCACCAAGGCAAATTCTGTGAGATGGTCTATGTGAAATTGAAATAGATCTGACCTACTGCCACTGAGCAGGTCCTGAGGGCTGGAGGCCTTCTGTCCAACACAGGCAGCTCTACTGTCATCAGTAGGTGCTTAGTATCTTCTGTGTATATGCTGCCCTTCACCCAGAAGGGTCCCAGAGTTCTAGGGGGAACTGCAGCAGCTGTTTAATAACACACAACCGTTTAGGACCAGGAATGAAGAATAACTTTGCCAATTGCAATGGGAGATGGGGCACAGTGTAATAAGTGGGCCTTAAGTGAGCCCTGGCTGCTAACACAAGGAGTCACACACAGCTTGAAAATGGCACTTCCAGCAGCATGGTGCCCTTGAACAAAATGCAAGGAATTGAGTTCAGCGCTGATTTAGAAAGAGAGTTTCCTCCACTACTGAATCACCAGCAGCCAGGTGATCCTTGAGAAATTTTACAATATCCGTAATCCCAGTGTCCCCTGAGATCTGGCTCAACCCTTTCCCCCTGCACTATTAGTGGGTGTGTAGCAGACTTGGAGACGCTAAGCTCCTAAAGGCTCCAGGTTGCTGATCCTAGTCAGTTATGTGAGCTTTAGCCATTGTCTACAGAAGTAGAGATGTTTCCTGTGCCATGGACAGAGCATGCCTGGCTAGCTGGAGAGAGGCAGTGGTCTGAGAACAGATAGTAGTGGGGAAGTTTTGATGAGGCCTTTGTGCTGCAGCAGGGCTGGGATGGACAGAGGGCCAGGACAGTGCTGGAGTGGCCTTTTCCCTGCACTAGGACAGAGAGGGATATGAAATGAAGACATTTAGCAGGGCAGAGGTTGTGTTGTGTCTTAATTCCCAGCTAAGGCCAATAGGGAGGGAGACTCAGCCACACGCTTCCCCCTTCCTGTTCAGGTCAGTTATTCTTTTACTTAAGGCTAGCAAGATCCAGCAGGAAGCCCATTGCCAAATACATGCTCTGCAGCTCTGGAGCAGCTGCTGTCCTTTGCCCTGCTGTCTGGAGAGCAGTGACTCATCACAGGGATGGCCTGGAAAGTTTATACAGGGTTATGCTGCCTTTCCCTTTTCACCTCCATGGCATGAGGAGCTTAACCAGGAAGGTAGAAGTGCCAGCCTCATGCAGCTTGAGGTGTGCGTGTGGGGCTGGGGGGCAGGTTGCTCCCTGTGCTCTCTACCTTCTTTGGTATGGGGAATATGTCTTCCTCAAGGCTCAACCTCTGAGTCCCCCATGCCCCTGTCTGCCTGGGAATATTTTTGCTAGGAACTTGCTCCCCATACCACCAAAGCAAGGTGGGAGGGTGAGTGGGTCAGCAGGGTTTCTGTGTGTGTCTGATTCAAACCTCCCTCATTATCCATTTTGAGGGAGGCTGTGAAGCTCTGGGTATTCAAGGACCTGCACTGTCATTCCCCATCTGCTGGGCTGGGGGAGCCGGAAGCATGAAGCAGCCACTCAGCAAGTAGTGGGCTTTCTACTATGGTGGCAAGGTGCTTCCCCTGCCCATCTGCTGCTGGCTGTTTCAAGACACCCTAGTATCATGTCTGCAAACAACCAGTGTCTTTCAGCCATTACCGACCCCTGGATTCCTCCCTCCCGTTAAGTACCTCTGGGCTTCTCACCTCACTAGGGCCCTTTGCATTATTTCTCTGTCCTCTGGCATTCACCACTCCTTCCATCTCGGTCTCTCTGAATGGTGCTGATGTGACACGTCCAACCGAAGTTAAATAAATCCAATCATAACTGCAATCTCTGTACTCCCCACTATACCCCTCTCCCAACTTAATACATCCCTTTTACCTTTCTCCTTTACAGCCTGTTTTCAGTCCACACAGCAGTGTCTTTGTCCAATGAACTAAGTTTTCAAGTAAGATTTTTGTGAGCTACAGTCTCAGTCCTAAATATGCGAGCCCTATTGCACTCCATCCATCCACCAACATTGTCACTCTGCCAGTGAGAGCCACCTGGGCTGGCAAACAAGACTTATTCTTCCTGACTGCCCCGAGGCTACCTATTGCTCATGGTTCCATTGAGTGTTAATGTCAAGGGATTTTTCTCTCCCCGTTTGTTACATTATTTTGATAGAGTCGGGTTAGATACAGGTCCTGTGTCTCAGTTCCTAGGATCTGCAATGAGACTGGGCAGGGGCGTTTTCCAGACTGGTCATGCAATCATCTGTTTTGAATTTGGTATGGCCGAGGGAGCCATTTGTCATGTTACCACAGCAACTTGCAGACTCCTTGGCCTGTGCGGCTAGGAGGTGGGGCTTTGAGGTGGTACCGTCTGGGGTAAGCTGCATCTTAGTCAGAGGATCTGCTCTGGGGATAGCACGACCAGACGCTCTCAGCTCCTGGCACCCTGCTGAGGACAGCATCTGACTGCTGCTCCGTGAGTACCCAACAGCAGGCATATGCCTAGTGTACAGTCTCTCTAATGCTGGGGAGGGAAGGGGCAGGGGACAGCTAGTGAAGCAGTTCTGCTTAATGGTTCTGCATTTAATTGGGCTGGGAAAGAAGGAATCTGTGCTGGAAGTGGCAATAAGGGGTGTCCGAAGGGATGCCCCTGAGGTGGCATTAGGGTTTTGGAGATTGAAATAGGCTCCTTCCTGAGATGGCTTTGGGATGCATTGGCCACAGTGGGTGGAGCATGCATTGTGCTGTTGCAATGCATTGGACGTGGCATTGAGGTGTCTTGGAATCTGTATCTGAACTAGCACTGGGCTGTGCTGAGTAGGTGGAGTGTGTCTGCTTTCTGTGTTCTCCAGAGCTGGCACAGCGTGAGTGGATTGTGCTCTTTCATTCTTGAGCTCTGCCAATGCTCCTTCATCCTGACCCACCATGGCACCATCTAATCTAGCCCTGACCATTATCCTCAGCTTTGCCAGTGTGCCTCAATCCTGACCTGCTGCACCTCTTGCTACTCTTATCCTGGGCTCTTTGCGCAGTTCTGCTAATGCTGCTGCAGTCCCCACCCCAGTCCTCTACCTCAACCCTGCACAGCTGTACTGCTGCACCTCAGTCATGACTCAGCACCCCCGCTATTCATATCCTGAGTCGTCCGTCGTCGTCGTCCCCCCCAAGCTCTTCAATGCACGAGCCCTGGCTCACAGGACCGTAACTGCAATTTTGGACTCCGCAGCTTTGCTGATGCGTCTCAACCTCATCTTTGAGTCCCTGTGTTGCAGATGCTTTCTTTAGCTGAGGAAGGTCATTTGGGACTCTTCTTGGGATCCCCAATTCTGCTGCTTAATTGGATAGATGGCTTGCTGTTAAGCAATACCAGGTCTCACCCACCCAAGGCACTTGCTGCCTCAGCATAGCTCTCTGCCCTTGCCAGTCTAGGATGCAAAAGGTCATAATGTACCATATAGCTTGAGACTCCATCAGAGCCACTGGGTTGACTACAGACCAGTGCTCAGACCATTTCCAGCATTGTTTTCCCAGGGAGCTCCTTGACTAGGCTCTGAACTTTGCTTTGCAGACTGATGTATCATGATGGCAGCAAACAGGAGCCAGAAAATGCAGAATGGAAGCACAAAGGTGAGTGTGGGCAAGAGGTAGAGAGGCAAAGACTGCTGTGTATGAGCAACATCAGACTGGCTTGAGGAGTAGGGGGTTGCTAATGCTGCCAGCGGAGTATTTAATTCAAATATTATGCTGTATTGTGTTCCGTTGAGCAAGGCTGCATTGTCTGTGTAACAGATCTGTAACTAGAGCAATATACAGTGTCTGCTGGAAGAAAACAATGATAATCTTTAGCAAGATCTGTGTTTTTAAATGCTTTCTCTTAAAAAAAAAATTAAGAAATTCTCAGACAAAATCTTTGATTCAATCAATATTGTAAATATCAGTTTAAATTAAACATGGTTAGAAAATTGTAGTTATTAAAAACCCCAGCTTCCTCATCCCCCCCCAAAAACCAAAGAAGCCCAAAAAATTAAAGTCTAGAAACTCAGTAGTTCAGAGTCCAGAAGCAACCTTAATTTTGACAGTTTAACTGCCTATATATCAATAATCTCTGTGCACAGTGACTGACCTTACCCACTTTTGCAGTATGGACCACAAACCTGCTACCATGCTGAGAATACAGTACAAATGTAAAGAACCAGAGCCATTCAGATGGCCTTAGTGTAAGAGTTATGTGATTGCTAGCCCTGGAAATGCCATCAACTACCATATTTCTTATATGAACAGACCTATAGTCAGCTCAGGACATATGTGGGCACCAATCCAAATACAGAAACTCTCCTCACCTCCCCCACACCCACCTGGAGATCACTGGAAACTCCAACATCTCCTCTTACTCTGCAACATACATTCCAGAAGCAGCACTTGCCTCATAGCCACCATTTGCCAAGCCTTGATTAGCCCAATCTCTACCCCATTCCTCCTCCCACACTGAGGTCGTATTGGAGAACCTCTCCACTTCCTAATGTCCTGATCAGACTCATGTACTGCACTGGGTGATGGGGACCAGGGATAAAGGGGCAGAGCCAAGGTGTTTTCACTTAACTAGAAAAGGAGTACTTGTGGCACCTTAGAGACTAACCAATTTATTTGAGCATGAGCTTTTGTGAGCTACAGCTCACTTCATCGGATGCTCACGAAAGCTCACTTCATCGGATGCATCCGATGAAGTGAGCTGTAGCTCACGAAAGCTCATGCTCAAATAAATTGGTTAGTCTCTAAGGTGCCACAAGTACTCCTTTTCTTTTTTGCAAATACAGACTAACACGGCTGTTCCTCTGAAATCTGTCACTTAACTAGGAAGGTCTTGATTTTTAGTGCTTGCTTTGTATGAACACAATGTTCTAACAGTGCTTTCAGTTCAGAGTGCTCTGTCCAGCTGTAATGTCTTACTGACTCTTGTCTGGGAATTAGCATTATTACCCCCCACACTGCAGAGCCCGTGCAAACAAGGTCATGGACAGAGGCATGCAGTGCCCAGCCTTCCAACATGCTGCCTGTGGAAGGGCTCTTCTGCAGAGAGCGCTGCCCCTTAAAGGGGGCTGTACTGTGTCTTTACAGATTGTCCCACTCACCTCCATTCTGTTCTATTCGGGGTCTTATACCTCACCCACCTCTATGGTGACAGGATGTGCTAGAGCCCAAGGTTAAGTGTCAGTGGGTGCAAGGAGAGGAAGGTTAAATAAACACGTCTCTCCTATCTTCCTCCCCTCCCCCAAACCCTGATTGCTGCAAAGAAACAAAAGACAAGCCCCCAGGTCCCCTCTTACAGCTGCAGCAGGAGCTGAGAGACTGACTGTTGTAGTTGACGGGGGAGACCTGTGTGGCCGTTGTTACGTAAATGGTGTCACTGAGATTCCTGCTCCTGTATTAGCAAGTGTTTCCTACAGGGCTCTCTCTCTTGTACACAGTCCCCCAATTTGTCCCCTTCTTGCTGAGCACAGGAGAATCTGCTGCAGAGGGTCTTGCAGCTGCCGGTGGTGAATGCAACCTGCGAAAGCCTTCAGAGGACATACACCAGCACCAAAGAGGTGCACCCACTCGTGGCATCGGTGTGTGAGGCCTATGAGAGAGGAGTCAAGGGGGCCAGCTCGTTGGCTGTGTGGAGCATGGAGCCTGTGGTGCGCAGACTGGAGCCTCAGTGTGAGTCTGGATTCTTCCCAGCTGCGGGGGAGTGGGGCACGGGGAGAATGTGGGAACCAGGGACTGTCAGCACATGGGAGCGGCCAGAAAAGAAGGCTGCAGCGGAGAGATTCTGACTAGCAGCCAAAGCACAGGCCTGGGAGTTGAGAACACCTTGTTCTAGGCCTGGCCCTGCCACCAACTCACTCCATGGCCTGGGGCAAGTTTCGTAACTACCCTGCCTCAGTTTGCAATTGTGACTCTGTCAGCCCTCCCTGTGCTGAGTTAATGAAGGGAGAACAGTGCCCGTACATGTGCTAAACATTTCCCACATAGACTTAGGTAGGTGGCTGGGCTTCAAGCTTTGCCTGGGCTGGTTTAAGCTGTTGGAGACCTGTGTCTATAACACAGCAACAGAGTCAGAGTCCCTCCTCTCTCTAGGACACAGCTGGAACATCAGGACCCACCCTGGCCCTCAGAGCAGCGTGTCTGGGCCTGGCAGCTGTGGATTCCCCCTGGCAGACCTGCTAGTAGGGCCTGGCCACCCCTCTAGCCCAGCCTCCCTCCCCCAAAGAAAAAGCCCCTGCAGCATCTCCAGAAAGGAATTGTGGGAAAATCAGTGAAGGGTCAAGCCCAGGTCTGTCTGCAGTTCCCAGATCACCATGATTCCATCCCACGGTGGGGAGGGGGAGAGTCTTGCAGGGGAGGGGAGGAAAAGAAAGTGCAAAGTCAGCAGCTCAGCACGAGGCCCGAGTGCTCCATCCAGCTGGCTCCTTCCCAGCTCTTTCCCAATGCTAACTGCCCAAGCCGGGGCCAGGGTGCAGCAAATCCCTGGATGCATCCAATCTGCAGCCAGAGCTCAGCTACACAGCCAGGCACCTTTCCCAATGCCCACCCTCGCGGCGCTAGGTGGGGAACATGACACAGGCCGGCAGGAGCTGTAGTCTGTCTGTCTGGGGACCTGGCCACACCCCTTTGATTGTCCCCTCTGACCCATGTGTTTCCTGCACTTCCCCAGGACACATCAGGTTAGGTGCGGAGCAGAAGGGTGCTAATGCAGCCGCCAGGGGACGCGGCAGAGGGAGGGTAGAATCCATCAGTACTAGCTCTACTATATTGCCTGCCTGCGCCATCCAAGCACCTCCAAGTGCTGTACAAACAGTACGAACTCATTCAGCCTGTGTCAGGGAGGAGGGCTCCGGGCATTGCACTTAAGTCGTCTTCTGAAGCGTTGTACCTCCCCCTTCCCACCACCCCCGGCCCCCCCCCCAGCCTCAGCACCGCTCTGAGTCAGTACTAAACACAACGCCCTAGAGAGCAAAGGTGCCCTCTACGGTGCCACCTACACCCCTCCCTGCAGCACAGTGCTTGCTAGCTTTGTGGTGGGGTATCAGGATCTGCACTGACAAAGAAGAGGGAACCCCCTACTGAGTCATCCACCTCCCCTCCATGCAGCACAGAGCCCTCTACCACCATGCTAATATCCAGGCTTTGTCTGGTTCAGTCACAGCTGCCAACATCCTGGCCTGTAGGGGCTTGGATCACCTGGAGGAGAAGATCCCTGCCCTCCAGTACCCAGTGGAGAAAGTAAGTAATGGACCCAACCCCTCTCCTCCATCAGCCTATGGGACCCATCTATTCCTGGGCACCACCCACACCCATGTGGGACCCATCCATTCCTGCCCTTCTCCCCCTCCCCCCCCCCCCCGTGGGACCCATCCATTCCTGGATGTTGCCCACCCCATGAATCTCCCGGGGAGAGCTCTGTTTTCATGGGACAGTGGGGGCATTGACTTCATTCCCAGATTCCGTGTGTGTGATAACTGGGTGGTGATGGGCTCTTCTGAGGCTAATAGGGTAACATGCTAGGAGCCACTGGTCTCCCCTGGGGCCCCAGAGAGTCATCCACTGTTAGGGGTGAGGGTTTGGGGGGGCCCCCAAGGGTCATTCCTAAACACATGCAGACCAGTGGGGTCATGTCACACCTGCTCATGCTGCTCCCTGTGCTCCATCCCCTTCAGCATCCTTCAACCCAGAGTGAGACCATCTAGGTGCTGATGCTCCTCTCCTGTGGGGTTGCCTCTGAGCCATCTCCACACACAGCCATGCTTTGCGTTCCATTGGTCACTGTATCTTCATGCAGTGAGACCTGGGTGACTGAATCATGTTGCATGTCTCTTCTCTATCTCTTCTCCTGCAGATTGCATCCGAACTGAAGGACTCTATCTCCATCCCCATTCAAACTGCCAGGAGCACCATTGGCAACTCCATAGCTGGCACCTTGGACAGGGTCTTGGGGCTGACTGTTGAGGGTTATGAGCTGACCAGGAGCACAGCAGAATATATCTGGAGCAGCCAGGTTAGCCAGATGGCAGCTGCCAGGGTAGATGGAGCCCTGGGACAGCTAGAGAAGCTGGTGGAGTTTCTCCTGCCAGAAGAGGAGCATGAGCCAGGTAATCCTGCCTCCTCAATCATCAATGAATGGCGTCGCGAGTGGGAGGGGGGCACTTGGTGCTAATCCAGAAGCCTTTCCTTTGGGGAGACCTGGTCTTAAATCTGATTCACACGAAAATGGCTCTGGTGGCCTTTGACTGGGACACAGCACAGTGAAGACTGCCCAGTTCAGTGAGTTTGTCAGGCCTCTGCTCAGATGCGCAGGACTGGGGTGGGGCGGGAGTTTGAGGTCCGGAGCTTGGGCAGGTCAGTGTGAGGGCTCCAGCACCAGGTTAGCAGAGTTTGCTGCCATTCAGGACTGAGGTGCACCGGCAATGTTTCCAGCCTCTGTGTACACTACGGCTGGTTCTGGCCAGGACCAAGGGAGAATGTCTCTTTTGTGCTGTCTTCCCCGCACGCCTGGTGAATGCCTCCATGGGAACGTGTGAGGATTTATGGGGTTGGGTAGAGCCTCCTCTCTCTCACCTAGCCTGCTCGGGAGATCCCCTGGCCGTGTACTGAGTAGCAATAGGGAGGGTGGGGTGGCCCTGTGAATACCCTTCTTCTCAGGTTATTGTTCCTTCTTCCTTGTTATGTCCTCGGACACAGTAAATGGCCCAGCAATTCTGCCTATGCGAGGGGCCCTACATGATGGGCCCTTTAAACACAGGTATGATCTGCCTCCTGCAACCAACCAGTTCTCAGGGAGCCAGCTGCTGAGCTTTCCACAAGGTGGCGCTGTCACCCTGGTCAGATGCCTCCTGCAGATGGAGCCTGAAAGAAGAGAGAAGGGGGCTGATTATTCCTCAGCAAGGTGCATCTCTTGGCTGGTCGTTGGAGCTGAGGGGGAGGCATGGAGGGCTGAAAAAGAGGCTTCTGAAATGAAAGCCCTAGGGTGCCAGGTGCTGAACAGGGCTGTATGGGGCTTTGCTGTACAGCTGGGTAGCGGGGCAGTCCCAATGCAGAGACCTGCTTCTGTGCACCACTAGAATTCCACCCCCAGAGATCCCAGGAGAGCAGTTCCATGCCAAGTCTCCCATGGAAAGAGGGTGCAGAGCTAGTCAGGTGAATCCCAGGCCACATGTCCTGTTCCCACCTCTCCCCATACTAGTTTCATGCCCGTTCCCAGTTGGCTCTGCCTCTTTGCCTGTAGCTCATGAGCCCACAAGGGTGCGTGGATCTGAAGTGACGCCCTCCCAGCCACAGCCTGGCATCTTCACCAGGATCGGTGCTTTGGCCAGCACCATCTCCCACCGCGCCTACCAGCAGTCAGCCAGAACCATCCAGCGCACTAAAGCCGGAGGGCAGGAGCTGACCACATGGATTCCAGGCTTGGTGAGTGCCCCTGCACAGCACAGCTAAGGGGAACTCCTGGGGACCCTGGCAGCAGCTTAGTGCCGGGACTGATCTGCCATAAAACGTGGGCTGATAGCCCCTTGGACCTATGAAAGTCTGGATCCCAAGCCACACGAACGACAGCCAATGTTTAATGGAGGACCTAGACAGAATCAGTGCTTTGGGGCCGCCTGCTGGTGTAGCAGCAGTTACTGCACAATCCCCATCTCCTGAACCGTACTGAAGGATGCTAGCACAGAGACAGGGAAGTAAACATAAGTAGTAATACTAAATTATCCTATGCTCTTCTCATCTTGGCATCTGTCTATTTCTGTCTCTAAGGCTCTCCGAGTGGTTTACACACCCTACTCAGTTAAGCCTCTCAGCAGGGTAGAACGGGGTTTTATCCTCATTTCACTGAGGAGAAACTGAGACACAGTTGCCCAAGTCACCAAGGTCACAGCAAGTTCATGTCAGGAACAGAACCCAGGCGTCCTGCCACCCAACGTCCTATTCTAACTGTTTAGGCCCATCCACCACTGCCCCGTCTAGGAGCTAAGCCAGTACATTTCAGGGCCTCACGCTTGGTGGAGATCAGGACATTGGGTATTGCTGTTGTGAATATATTTCTCTTCATTTGCTCCATGGGAAGAACCAAGTGGCTCTTTGGCTCATGCTTTGCTGCTAGCTGCTCACTCTCCCTCCAAGGCAGGCAGGGTCCTGGCCCCTTATAATCTCTGTGGCATCAGCGCACACAAGGCCCCCACCAAGTTAGCAGGCTGGATTATTTTTAACTGGCTCTAAATTTAGACGGTTAATTAATGATTTTGACATAACATCCTTCCCAAAGCAAAAGGCCCCAGTGGAGGCACAGATAAAATCAGGAGTAAAAAGCCCGCCTCCAACCCACCGTCTCGCCACTCTGCTCCCCTGGGGTTGGAAACCACCCGCAGCCCCGCCAGAACCCACAGTCCCCTGCTGCCTTTGGGATTTCTTCCCATGTGTGTCTCTGTTTTCTGACCCTTGGACATCCCATTACAATTACAGCACTGACGCAGAATGGATCCTGCGAACCACTCATTCCGATTAGAGCTCCCAAGCTAAACAGAGCTGGCCTGGTTGGCTGGGAGACCACCAAGGACCGTGGAGCTGCTGCAAGGGATGGGGTGTGAGTGACTCGTTAGAGGACTCTCTTGACCACAGTGCTCCAGTGTGACACGAGGGGTGCTGTGCTGCGCAGAGTGGTGTGAGGGGAGAGAATCGGAGGGTACCTAACTCCAAGGTCTGGGCCACTTGTGGTGATTAAAGATCTGAAGTCACTTTTGGAAAGAGTTAGGGTTTTGACCCCTGTGTTCTGGCCAAATTCTATCCAGGGTAATTGCATCTCGGCTCGCCAAATCCCCCCTGTGGTTTTTAACGGCTCTGGAATTCTCTTTACTTTCTGTCCTAAACTGGTGTGCACCTTTGTTATGGATCAGTTAAACAGCTGCTGCTTTGCACCTAGATGAGGCAGCATGTCAGTGGTGGGTGAGGGTTCCCTGTGTGTCCCTCAGCTCTAGGGGGCGGGAGGCTGACAGGGGAAATGTTGGCATTTTAACAGATTTATTGCTTGGCTTTCCCCTTAGCGTTCATCTCCTCACTGTAGTACCTGAGCCTGCAAAGCATCAACGGGCCTAGCCTCGCAGCTCCATCAGCGCTGGGTCAGCAGCACTGTCCCCCGTGCGCAGGTTGGAACAGGTGTGGATCGGGGCTGGCTTGCCCAGCATGAAGCACAGTTAGGCCCTCGCATGGAAAGGTCCTGTGCTGTGCTGTGTGTTAGTGCAGCTCCCCCTCCCTTTATGCTGGCCTGCAGGCTCCCCGTGTACACTCTGCTTTGCTGTGGGAATCTGGAGCCCTGGCAAGGGGCAGTGAACTCTGACTTATCAGCCTTGTGCTGGCCATCATGCATTGCCATGGTGGGCTGCAGAAATACCTGGATTCAGGAGCCAGTGACAAGCACAAGGGATGCAGTCAAGAAATCCCGAGTGCAGCCACAATGCAGCCGCCACCCTGCTCCATGGTGGCCCTGGTGAGGTCCCACCTGTGAGCAGGGACTCTCTGCTCTCTCTCTCACTGCAGGGTGCCGTGGCCAGGCAGAGCACGGCCAAGGCCCAGCAGGTCCTGTGTGATGTGCAGAATGCAGCAGCTGGTTGGCTGAGCAAGGAGCAAAGTAAGGAGCCAGAACAGGAGCAAGAGAAGGAAGAGCTGGAGAAAGAAGAAACCAAAGGAAGTGAGGTACAGAGAGGGGCAGAGCAGCGAGCACACCTGCTCTGATGGGTCAGCGAGGGAATCTTTACAAAGCCCCCTGCAGGTCCTGTCCAGTGGCCAAGGCAGCAGTTGTGGCCCTTACTACGGTCAGGGATCAGGTATAGAGGAGGAGGTGAGGGAGGGAAGGGCGTGATTCTCCCAAGGCTGTAGAGGGAATCAGTAGCAGAGCTCAGAGTCCTGGCTTCCAGGCCCCTGCAATAACTGCTAGACAACACTGCCACATGAAGGGAAACAGTTCTATTTAGAAGCCACTGATCCAGTGGGCCATGCTCCCCGTGCCCCTCAGCCACTTGGTCTTTATTCCCAAGAAACAGGCTTGGGCAGCTCTCGAGGGTCCCCTCTGCTTGTGCCTTCCCAGGTGGAGGTGTGGAGACGGCTGTTGCAAGCTGAGGGTTTGGAAGCCCTGGCGGAGGGGCAGGAAGTGATGGTCTTTAGCCTCCCTCACTTGGTCGAGACTCTGAAGAGGCCCCTGTCCTACAGCCACTACCCTTGAAAAGGGAGTTGGCAGCCTCCAGGCCTGTCAGATGCAGAGGCCTGGAGTCTCTGGCCTGGCTGAGCCGTGTTTGAGCAGCTTCCCCTGCTCCACACCCCTCACTGCAACAAACTTCCAGTTTTCGGCCCACAGCCCTAGGGGGCAGTTCCAGCAGCCAGGGCTAGCTGGTGAGTAGGGATGCCCTGCTACGCCGCTCTTTGCCCAAGGGGGCCCAGGGCCTTGCACTGGGCACAGAGGGTGGCATAGAGCCACTACTAGTGAGCTCTGACACCTAGGGATGAGGTCACTCTGCAGGGGAATCCTTGGGAGGCTAGAATCACTGGCTTCACAGCTGCTTTGTGCTGCCGGACCGGGACCGAGAACCTGGCCCAGAGATTAAGCGCTGGAAATGGCTGAGTGGAAACTTTCCTCTAGTAGGAGGTCTGCTGGGACAAGGAAGAAGGGAAGTGAGGGCCCTGCACCTTTGCCCTCCCCACTCTCAGTACAACTAGGGGAGTTGGACAAACTTCCGCCGGAAATACAGCCTTGAACCAAATAGCTGGGGGGGGGCAGGCTTGTCTTGTCTCTGGAGGCCTGGGGGGTTGGGCGAGGGAGGACAGGATGACGCCCCAGTGCAAGCTGCTCAGCCTAAGGCCAATGGCTCTGGCTCTGAATCATCTGTTCAGTCTTTGGGCTTCTGGGAGCTGGGGCACTCAAAGGGAAGGACAGGGCTGCAGGACAGAGGTGGGGCCTGCTGCCCCCCAGCATGGGCCATGCCTGGCACTTACCAGAAGGGCTGGGCATATTTCTCTTTGCAGATGGCTGAGGTTGCCAAGACTCCAAGCCTCCTGGGCAGCATGGCCCAGAACCTACAAACTGCCTATCTCTCCGCCATCTCCAACGTGAAGAGGGTCCCCTCTGCTGCCTGGGGGACAGCTGGGGAGCTGCTCCAACTCACCCCTCGCAAGGCAGCTTCCATAGCCAGAGAGAAGGTGGGCGCTCTGGGGGATGCCCTACGCACTGTTACCGGGAGCATGGTGGAGACCCTGTCCCACTACGTGCAGGTGAGTTTATCCCTTCCTCTGAGAGCTCCCTTCCTGCGCTGCAGTGTGAAGGCAAGACACGCTTGGCCAGGATCAGCCTCTTCTGGCCTGGGGCCTGTATCTTCCTCCACCTCTGGCTGGAGCCCCTCCCTGCTGGGAATCCTATCAAGGGCTCCTACAGCACCAGACTCACTGCCAGTCTGGGGTTCCTTTGGGCCATGTTAGAGATGCCTCCTTCAGCTCAGAATGGGGCAGTCCGGGGGAAGGGGCTAAGGGGTACCTCCTGGGCTTGGGGAAGCAATGGACTCTTGGCTTTGCTTACACGGGCCATGGTGCAGAGGGGTGCCCTGTTGATGTACCCCAGTCTTGGCCGCCTCACACCCAGCTGTGCCAGTGCCCTTCAGTCCTGACCTGCAGCCGCCCTGCCAGTCCAGTCCTTTGCCCCCTTCCTCCTGTGAAGCCAAAGTCATGATTGAGGGTCCCTGGAGACCGTTGTCTGGAGCCTCAAAGCAGGGGCTACTGCCAGTCAGCTGTGAGATGCACAGCCAAGTGCTCAGTCACAGCCCTTAGCTAACGTGGCCTCTCAGATTGGCTGGCCCAAAAGCCCCATACTGCATGTGGGGTCTGTCCTTCCATTCACCAGACTGATGCAGCCAGGCCCCTGGAGCGCTGCTCACGTGGACTGTCCTAGGAAATCCCAGCTGAGAGAGTTTGGGTCTGTGACCAGAAATTCCTGGCAAGGTGAAAGTTCAGGGAGTGACCCACCTCCCCTCCAGCTGATTCCTGCCTCCCTCTCTCCCTCCCTCCCCCTGCCTGAGCCAGGGCTCTCAGCCCATTAATCATGTGTCCATGGAGATGCAGACTGCCCACTGGGCTCCACTGCCCAACCCCTGGGGATCTGTCTGGAGTTGAGTTCTCAGCTGCTGGCTTCAGCTGCAGGCTTTTCCGCTTTGTGTGGCAGGAATGGCCAGGAGCCCCAGCTCCGTGGTGGGTGTAAGGTCTGAGTAGCCTCGAGGATACAGGGCTTTGTGAGGGATAGAAGATAGAGATTGGGAGGGGCAGGGAGAGGGGCCCATTGAGGAGCAGGCAGTATTGTCAGATCAGTGTGGTGGTGAATAAAGACTCAAGGTCCCCCGAGCCGCTCCTGGTGCAGAGCCCCACTGGGAGGGCTGGTGTCTGGCACCTACTTAGCTGGTCGGTGTTTGTGACTGTGTCAGTAATAGTCCATGGACAAGGCAGTCACCTGCATGCAGGGGTCCCCTGGAATGGGGTGCATTCCCGTGTGGGCCTGGGGTCCCATCATTCTCCAGTGTGCACTATACTTACGACACAAAATGCCACTGCCTCAAAGGGTGGGAGGGATGAGGATTGGGGAGAGGCCCTTGCCTGGTGGCAGGGACGCTCTGCAGTCTCCTCCTAGCGCTCTTTCTGCAGAGTGAAGGGAGCAGGTGCCTGGCAGGGAGGGGCCATCTTTGCAGAGTGGTGGGGTGGGGAGGTGGGTTCTTTCAAACACCAGCCCAGCAAAATCACTGGCTCCTCCTTACGTCGGTCCCAGTAGCTCCTAGGAATCCAGCCAGAACTGCCTCCCTGTCGACAGACCCCTTGGGCTGGCTCAGCAGTCAGGAAAAGCCTCAGTGCCTTGATGTCACCCCCCTGAGCACTGCTCCCCAGGGCATCTGACCCTGACTCTTCCTGTCACACTGAGGCACCTGGCTCTGGGTCCCTGCTCCCACGGCTGCAGCACTCGCTGTCCTGGGACTGGTCACCTTCTGGGCAGCTCGGCAGCCTGGCTTGGAGCAAAGAAGCCAAGATGGCGAAGGGGACCAGCCCCAGCATTGAACCAATCACCCTGCTCTGTCTGGGGCTCAGTCTGGTGCCTGGGCCAGACTCCACTTGGGAGTCCAGGCAGCAGACACCCTCCTTGCACGTTACATGCAGGGCGGATCCTGACTGGGGATGGAGTAGGGCTGGGTCTAGGGGCCAACCTGGTCCTGTCTTTGGGAGGCTTTACTTGTGTACCTCCCCATCCCCGGGCAGCGTTGGCCCTCTGTCTTTGAGCACACAAGCTAGGTGGGGAACCCTCAGCCCCCTGGGGTCTGCCCCCTGAGGCCAGCAGGCCTTTGGAAAAGCCTTGCAGTGAAAATCCCAGAAGCAGCCGAGACCAGAACAACCTGACCTAATACATCCTTCATCTGAACAGTGAGAGACAACCCGAGCTAAGGGACCCTAACCCGGGGTCCAGCGCCCACATGGCTAGAGAGACAAATCAGAATCAACTGTTTAGAGAACCTAGCTCTGCTCCTCTAGCTGATCACTGCATCTCCCAGCCTCTGCAGCAGCCTGTCCCCTGGTGATTGAGCAGGGCTGGAGGGGAGTAGGTCTGGTCCTCTGGAGCCTCCGGCCCGAGGAGGGAAGAGTCCCCTGGAGCCTGAGGGGGAGGGGTGGGTCAGCTGAAGGTCCCCTGGAGCCTGACAGCAGGTCTGGGCCTACTAGCGCTGCAGTATCTCCAGACCTGAGTTGGTCCTGAGGGCCAGCCTGGGCCCTTTGGCCAGTGCGCCACTGTCCCTTTGGTATGCTGTCCCAGGATGAACAGCGTGACCTCCTAGATCTGGGAGCAGTCACTTGTGGGGAGGGGGCAGGGAGGCTTCTTGGCTCCAGTCTGAAGCAGAAATGTGTGGGATGGTGGGGGGGAAGCTAACCCCACAGGGTCCCCCACTGAGCAGAGAATGAGTTTGGTGCGGCTGGTACTGCTGCCCCGTCTCCTGCAGGGGAAGCAGGGAGGATGCTGAAGGCCAGGGAGGGCATCTGCGGGGGCCATGCTTTGCAGTCTTGGCATTCCTTACCCCCCGAGGCCACTGCGCTAGCTCTCCAGCCCCCTCCTAGCCCTTTTATTCCTGCCAGGTTTGGTTGTACTCGGTGTGTAAGAGCTGCAGTGAAGCCTGCTCATCCCTGCCCAGCGCGTGGGGATTTAGCTAAAGGGATTAATTCCCTCTGAGCAGAATGGTCCAGATGGAGGCCTCTTTGGGCTGAGGCTCATGCAGCCCCCTCACACTCTGCACCCACTGAGGGCATGGGGAGGCTGGGCCTCACAGGGCAGGTCTGGAGCAGGGTGGGTTTCCTCCCCCTCTCTGGGAATGAACAGGGGGGTTCAGCCAAATGCCAATGGGGACCTAGGGCAGAGGATGGAGGGCCAGACATGCCCTTCCTCTGGTTATTTCCATAGCATCTTTCTGCACATGCCGAGCCATTAAAATGCAGCCACCTCTGGGGTGGGGACAGTGCGGCAGTGGTTTCTGGCCAGACCCGGGGGCAAACCGCAACTCTTTTGGTAAGTGTCAGGACCCCTTTAGTTATGGTGCAGAGCAGACAGGAGCTAAATGCAGTTTCCTCCGTACTCAGATGTCCCTCTGGCAGCCATTGGCCAAGGGGCAGGGCGGTGCTTCAGGCCACCCATAGGCAGACGGGGTGTTAACACGTGTTCTCTTGCTGTTCAGCTCCCCAGGCTGCTGGCAAAGAAAGAGGAGACGGCGCATGAGAATGATCCCACTCCTGAGCAACACCGAAGTCAGGAGGGCTCCAGGCCTGTGGCTTCCCCATCCCCGGAGAAATCCCAGCTGAGAGGAAACTGGCGAGCCAACCGAGCTCACCATCCCCTCTCCTTCCTGGGGCTGGAGGATCCCTTCTTCCTGCAGCCGAGCTCCTTCCAGCGCCAGGCTCTACAGCGGAGCCCAACCTTCGAGCCCGACCACCCCATGACCCGCAAATCTGCCTTCTCCCCCTATAGGGAGGGGCTCAGCACCAGGAGGGTGAGCAAAAATTCATACCGCTACAGCCCAGAGCCTGTGTACACCAGGGCTAACTATAGCAACCTCTACACCATGGCCTTCAAGAAGGACTGAACCGGGGCGGGGGCTGGAGCTCGTTCACTCCCTGCTTCACACATGCCAGCCTGCACCTGCTGCGCTTAGTGCCTTGTCGAGCATCATGCTGTTGGTTTCAGTATTAGGACCCTCAGGAGTTAATCTCAAAGCAGTGTTCCCTCTGTACAGCCCCAGCACAGATAAGGGGACAGGGACGGGGACTTACCTTCACCTCTGGCACCATGGTCAATTGCAGCTTGAGGCCAGGAGTGAAATGAGTTTGACAGTCCCAGCTCATTCCCTTTCCCAGCAGGCCGGGTGCATTCAGGCCTGTTTCTGTGTGTCTGCCCAGAAGGGAGCTGGCCTGGAGACTGAGACTGACTTGAGGCCCTGCTTAGTGGGGAGGCCTGCTGTGCAGTATCACAATGGCCATGGGGGGAAAACGAGGGCAGGGTTGCAGTTTGTGTCACTGCCCATCCCTCCAAGGTGACCCCACAGAGAAAGAAATGGGGTTGTGCCCTGTTGGCTTCTTTCTGAAGAGAGGTCAGAGGGTCCTCAATCCCAAATGCTGCTGGTATTTTACAGCAGGTGCTGTATCAGGAATGTCAGGGCTGGTCTGTGCTGGTTTTACCAGTGAAGCCACTGGGGCTTTTGCATTATCCTGGGAGTCTTCTCAGCCCTCAGTTGAAAGGACAATGTGCTGAATCCCTAGCAAAGATGTCCTTTCTCCACCAGGTTCACTGGTCCTTGTAGTTACATGGCTTGCCATGTGTGTCATTCTGGGTTTCTTTTATTCCCCCAAACTGCCTTGTGAGGTAGAGGCAATAAGCCGGCTGTAGTGTGGGTCGGGGGATAGGGGGGCAATTGCTGGCCCCCTCTTGCGTGTGATGGGTTGAATGGCAGTGACACAGTAAGAGGCAGTTTCCTGAGTGGGAAGGTGAGGACTGGAAGCAGGAAAATGAAGGAAGAAGCAGCTCTACCGTGAGGGAGCAGAGGAGAGGAGAAGGAGGGGGAAGAGGGAGCAGAGAAGAGGGAAAGGATTGCAGGAAAGGGCAGGAGCTGGGAGGCCATGTTGCCTAGGGCTGGGCCTTGCTCAGTAGTGCTTATCTTGCATGTACCCTGTGTGGGCAGCAGCTGAGGCGGAGGCTTGTCTTTGCACTGTAGGCTGGGGGAGCCGGGTTCTGCTGCAGACCAGCCCCTCCCATCAGACAGCAGTTTTATAAATGCCTGAGGGGGGAACGTGGCTTCCCATCCTCGTTCCTTCCCACCCTCATCCCGCGCAGGACAACCCTGCCTCTGGCCTAGTCTTCCTCTGCAGAAGTCACTTGAGACCCAAGGGAAGAAATCCGTGCTGGACGGCAGGATCCATGGGTGGGAGCTCCCCAGAAGCCAGGCCATCTCCTTGGCCCTCCATGTGGTGTTAGGGCTTTGTGGAGTCAGTAACAAGGCATGTGTTATGCAGTCTATGGCATGGGGGAGCTCTTGGAGCCCCTTTCTTCCTATCCTGTAGGAGCAGCTCAGTATCCGGGTAGGTTCCCTGCAGGACGGTGAGCTGTATCCCCCTCCCAGCTGTGTGTTTCCCCATCCCCCACTCAGGGCAACCGGCTCTTCTATTTACTGCAATAATAAACATTCCCCACTTGTCTAGTGCCTGGTATACTCGTTTCCTCCGGGTGAGTGAGATTGTGCCACTGGGGCCGTCCCCACTGAACTGGATCAAACTGCAACTGTCTTGGTCCCTGCATCCCTGGGTGGCACAGGTCCAAAGACCTGATCCCAAAGGCACAGCCACAGACAGGGGCCGGGGGTGGCTGCAGCCCAAAGAGCGTGACATAAGCTGGGGCAGAGCTTCTCCACGGGCCTATAAACAGGGCTGGGTGGTGCTGTGTATGGTCCTGGCAGAGGAGGCAGCATCTGGGCCTTTGGGGCCAGCCGCTCCCTCCAGCGGCTGGGGAAGGGCTGCGTGTTGTGCAATATTGTGACTAGTCCATGCCAGCTCCTCCTCCTGACTCGGCGCCAGCTCCCCCAACCGGGCAGTGCCTTGTGTCAGGCTGGCTAGTGCCCTATACTTCCTGGCCTTAGGCAAAGGGGAGTTTGTGCCAGGGTAGCAGTGAGGGGAGAAGAGGGTCTGAACCTCCAGTGGCCTGGAGCCTGGGCCCTTTCATTTATCAGATGGGATGCCCCTCGCCCACACCTCAACAGTCTCCCCACCCCACGCACTAGGTGATGGGAGGGAACAGGCCTAGCTGGAGATGCTCCTCCCCTCCAGCTCTCTGTCTTTACGGAGGGGGTGACTATTTTCAGGAGGGCTGGGGCTGCCCTGATGGATGTGACTAACCTACTCAGACCTGGAACAAGAGGGCAGTGCCAGACGGAGCTGTCCTGTCCCATACTCGTTGCTGGGAGCTGCTGAGGCCGCCTTCCAGCCATAGGCAGGGAAACATGCACCCACCGTAGCTCTCTCTGCTGAGCTGCTGTACAGCAGGGACAGGAGATTCCTGCCTTTCCTGCCCTCGCCTGCACTCCACAGTCACACAGCACAGCTGTTGTAGTGTTTTTTCTTTACTCTGTATGGAGAAAGGCTCAGGCAGCACCTGCTCCTACAGCTTGGCTTTCCAGAGCCCTGGCTCCCAGGTGCTCCAGACAGTGCCAGGCCCCAGAGGGCTAATGGGCCAAGACATTTGGGGATTCTGGCAATGGGCCCCGCTCTGTAAGTGTGGACACAGGGACAGTCCAACTCATTCTCCAGCGCTGCAAGGACCAGTCTGAGCCAGGCTCTGCCTTCCATCAGCACTCTCACAGGTTTGATCTGAAACCCAAAACTATTTAAAATCCGACAAGTTAGTGCCACGCAGCAGCACAAGGTTGGGGGGCCTGGTGCAAAGGTGCTGAGCTCCTCGCGTTGCAATGCCAGTCCAACAATAACCACACACAGCTCATTGTATACACGCTGCTCCATAGCACTCTGATCCAAACCAGGGGCTGTGTACAGAAGCCAAGGGAGAAAAGAATTGTTTGTCCAGCTCCTCACAGCTATCAAACCGGCCGGATTAGCTGGGCTGCTAGCAAAAGGCACAAGTTCACCAGGACAGTTTGAGCTGACTTGTGCTGGGTTAATAGTGAAGGGCCTGGGACTACAGCAAGAGGAAGATTTAGCCAAATTGCAGCAGGTGCCCAGATTTCTGCCCTTGGTCTGTCACACTCTAGGGCAGGCTAAGCCAAAAGGCAGTTATCCTCACCCACCTCCTCCATAGGCGTGTTCCCCCTTCCCCTGCACAAAAACCACAGCTGTGATGAGCCAGGAGCTTCCTATAAAAAGGGGGTTTATTGCAGTAGAAATCACTGTGTTTACAGACGCACCCTCTTATTTACGCTCAACCTTTACAGCCCTGGGGCTGGGGTAGAAGGAGCAGAGACCCCGCTCCACATTCATAGAGAAATTTTACTGGTTTTCAGCCCATCTGTGGGGAGAACCTAGCCCTTCCTTCAACTCACAGGCCCTGCCTGGTGACCATCTAGGGACAGACAAACTGTGGCTCCCAGCAGGGACCGGGTTAGCATACACTGGATCCCACGCTAGAGCCCTGGAAACCAGCCAAGTCTCCAATCTTACATGCATGTCTAATGCATCGTTTAAACAACAGAAACCTCTGCTGTCAGCAAAAGAACTGGGGGAAGGAGCTGGTCGGCACAGACAACACCAGGCACTGTGACAGCTCAGTAACTAGTCGAGATTGCACAGAGAAGAGGCACAGAACCAGAGGCTGACAACGTTCCCTGAATCCCAGGGGCTTTGGTGTCGGCTGAAGATACAGACATTTGAGATGCTGAGAAACACCAATGGGCAGATACAGATGCCACCCTCTGTACATGCAGCGTGCACCCACTAGCCACTCCAGAACCACATCAGCATCAGTCATGCTTACAAGGAGCATTACCCAGTACCACCTCCCTGTGAAGGGGAAGGAAGGAGGGTCTACGGGTCAGGGCAATAGCTTGGGACTCTGGAAACCAGGGGTCAATTCCCTTATCTACCAGACTGTGTGTGACCTTGGGCAAGTGACTTAATGTGTCTGTGTCTCAGTTCCCCCTCTGTAAAGTAGGATTAATAGCACTGCCCCACCTCACAGCAGTCTTGTGAGGTGCTCAGATGTTATGGTGATAGAGACCATAATAAGTACCTAAGACAGATACAAACAGCCACATGCCCAAGTCATTGCTCCTAGATTCCCAGTTGAGAGAGCTGAGATTGGAACGGAGGACTAGGAGACAGCTGGTCCTTCCCACTCATTTGTATTGAGAGGAAGTGGCAGCTCCCCACCAAAGGAACTGGGGGAGGTAAGATCCTCCCAGAAGCAGCAGAAAGATGCTCTGGTATTTTCCAATATTAGGGAGGGGAGGGGAGGGGAAGGGAGTTATTTAGCAGAGTGAAAACTAAGAGAGCCTGTGAGCTTGACAACGGGGCACCAGTGCTGACTGGAGTCTCTGGATGCTATTGTAATATACATAATATTCAGACTACTTGGCTGAGGAATCCTGTCCTCAAGGGAAAGGGTGGGAGCTCAGGGGTGGCGCATTTATAGCTAAATTGGACACCATGCTAGTCACTGTATAACAGGGCCCAACCCCCTGGGGATGGACAGTATGGACTCCTAGGTGTTGAATTATAAAGACCCCAGGTTGCACTGGTATATATATGATGGCAAGGACAGACTCAGCCATTTTCCTGAGGCTCTCAGGTGTGAGGCTGGGGGAATCCATTTGACTCCTCATATAGAGTACATGGCTCTTTTCACAGGGGTAGGAGGGCTTAGTCTAGTGAAGCAGGCTGGGCACCCTGATCTTTCCAGCTGGCAGCACATGGGGAAGTAACAAACAGGCTCCAGCTCAGAGCGAGTCCGTCCTCTTCCGGGCAAACACAGCCGACATGCTTTTGACAATGCTGCGGATCCCAGTGCCCTTCTTCAGTGCCAGCTTGGCCTCGCAGATGCGCTCCGCCAGCCCCTGGAAGACCATGAGTGCCCCATGATAAGCCTCAGCTGCAGAGACCTCATAGAATTCACAGTCCATGGAGAGTGCCAGGAGACGGCCCTCCTCACTGGAGACCGCCCGCTGGTGGTGTAGGTCCCGCTTGTTGCCCACGATGACGATAGGCACCTTCTCCTGGCTTAGAGCCTCCTTGGCTGCCTTGAGGACCTGGACTTTGGGGCGCAGCACATTGAAGCTGGCACGGTCGCAGATGCTGTAGACCAGGACGAAGCCATCTGCCCACTGGACTCGCTTTTCCTTGGCAGAGCTCTCATCCACCCAGTCCTGGGGGAGGAGAGATGGGACAGGAAGATGGGGTGGAGTTTGATAAATGAGTGAGTCTCTGGGGAGGATGTTAGTGTTGACAAAGGTCACACGATCATCCGGCTGGGCTGGAAACTGAAGCTCCTACACTCCCCTCTGAACAACATACAGGCCAACTGCAGCTGGGTAGTGACCTCTGCCGGTCACGTCAACCCCGATCTGGAAACACCAGCTGCAGGAGGAGAGAGACTTTGATCCTGGTCTTGGCCAGCACAGGGGCTGAGCCCCGACCATAAACTAGACTGGTACCCATAACCCAAAGGTAAAGTTTTTACCACCTAACCTCCTATACCCAAACCAAGCCACCTTCGACTCCCAGGAGGGGAGCGGAGGGGCCCTTCCACCAGTTTGGTTCAAGGAGGCTGTGCTTGCAACTAGCAGCAACTTACTGCCCTTCTGTGCAAAGCATCCAGGCTCAAGAGCAGCTGGAGGCTTCTGACTCCATGCTGGCAGAGATGCAGCACACCCTGTCTTTGGACAGGCAGGCAAGGGAAGGGGGTGACAGTCACATCCTCCCCAGGGAGGAACACCCTAGTGGGCAGAAAGAAACAGGGAAGGTGAGGGGGAAATGAGAAGAGCAACAACCTCAATGTAAAAGGAAGGGGAGGAGCGATACCTGGCAGAGCCCACCAAGGCTAGGCCAGAACACTTGGGAAGAGACAAGAGTCAGGCTTGCTATCCTCACCTCGCATCGTGTGGAGCAAAGAGGGCTTTTGGCCATGCTTGCTCTGGCTGCAGGTTATACGAGTTTGGCGTTCTCAGCTTAGGACCTCGCTTGGCGCTCCCTGCCACGTCCACTGAACCAGTATGGGGGGGGGGGGGGAATTCAATCAGGTACAGCACTGAGCTAGCTGCTGCTTCATCCCCTTTCTTTCCCATCCAGGACTAGTGGAGCAGGGTGGCAAGTTCTGCACTGGTGCTAGCCTGGGAATACAGTCTTTGCTGTCCCAAGGCCTTTACCCTCCAGCTGGAAGCATGAGAGAGGCGCCATCCCTGCAAGCTGCCTACTAGCCACCTGATTGGCCCAAAGGTTAGTCATGTTGGGGAGAGTCGGAAGTAGGGGTTACAGTCTGGCTGATGCTTCAAGTCCATGGTTTGCCTTTGGGTTTTCTTAGCTAGGAGAATAGTTTTTCCTGGGGGCAAGAATGTGAGACAGCAGCAGCAGAGGCCCCTCACCTGTGAACAGGGGACGTCCCATATGTGGACGAGGATCTCTCTGCCCTCCATTGCCAGGCTGTGGCTGTAGATGGATTCTGCCAAAAGGCACAGAAATCACTGCATGTATAGATCA